AATATAAGTCAAGAAGAATTGTTCACAAAATTAGAAAAAACTCTAAGTACAGAAATTAAATTAAAATGGGAGATAGCCACTTTAAAAAAATATATTGATGAGCAAATCACCCCCCGTGGCTTAAGACTACTCAAATTACCCACTTCTGATCAAGATGACTTAGAGTTTATGGAAGAGTGGAATAATAAATTAGAGCTCTGTACTCTAGGCCTTATGGAGACCTTAATAATAAAAAAAAGTAAAAAATTGTCCACTCTAGACAATGAAATTAATAGTCTTCGAGACAAACTTTTACCTTTCACAGAAACACAAGCATACAAACAAAACTCAATACTCATCCAAAGTAAGATCGAGAAAGTTGAAATCGAAACCAAACATATAAAAATAAAAAAATATATAAGAGACAAAACCGATTACTCCAATAAACAGGTTAGGACCTACCATTTAAACAAAAAATATACCTCACAATACCCCATCCAGAGAAACAATTATGCAAGAACTAATACTCACCACGATACTAAACACTACGAAAACTCTGAAGGAACACACCAGTTACACCAACATCAATATCATCATATAAGAAAACCTTCCAATCCACTACCAAATTCACACATATCCAGGGCACCAACTAATCGCTATCGTGGTCCCCCACAACGATCTCATTATTCCAATACTACACAATACCGTTCATTTCCTCAACGTAATCAGTATAATTCACACCGCACCCATCACAAGATCCCATCATCACCTACATACCAAAACACATTAGTGCCCCAATATAAACAATTGTCCCCTAAACCACAGAGATCGAAATATATTAATGATCACAATGAATACTCTAACTATCAGAAGTCACCCACGATTCCTCACCATTCCAATAGATACCAATTACTATCACTAGATTCAGAATTCGAAAACGACGACCATTTTTTAGAAATTCGCACTCATCACACTGCACTAGCTCAAACACCTCATCCCTCACGGCCAAGAAAAAGAATTTTAAATCTAGAGGAAGAAGAAGCGGCAGACGCGAACAAAAGAGAAAGACTAGAAAGATAACGACTTCTCCAACTAGTACTAGCAGTGGCATTTTTAACCTCTCACAGAAAATTTTAACCAGCGCACAATTAGCTGTTTTAACTAAAGGTCTTAAATTTGCCCCCACTAATACTTTTAAATCTTTTGAAGCTTTTATAGATGTTAATAAATTTGTTCGGAAAGCCACTCTCAAACGATTTTTTTTAGAAAAAAATGGAGACAATCAGAGTCAGCATCAGGTTCTACCCTCTCCCACTCCTTCCCACATCAATTCCATCAAGAATACACACCTCAGAGAAAAATCCACCTTTTATCCGGCTCATTTTAAATCTGCCCCTCTAACTATGTTTGAAAAATTGGTTATAAATGATTTAGAAAAAATTAAAAACAACAAATATGATCCTCATAACCTCACACATACAGAAAAGTTGGCATTAAAAGAACTACAGGACGATGTGGATATTGTTATCAAGCCTGCAGATAAAGGCGGTGGAATAGTTATTCAATCCAGTCATATGTATATCGAAGAGGCACACAGACAACTGCACGACAAAAATGTGTATGATAAACTCCCTTCAGATCCCATTAAACAAATACAAATTATTTTAACAAAGTTTTTAGCTAAAGGCGTAAATTTAGGTATTTTAAATAAACACGAATTTAATTTTTTAAATAATAAATTTCCCGTTACTCCAGTTATATACTTTCTTCCCAAAATCCATAAAAATGAAACTGCACCACCGGGGAGGCCTATTGTGTCCGGCATAGGCTCTCTCCTATGCAATCTCTCTCAATATATCGATATCCTCCTACAGCCTTCAGTCAAACGCATGAGATCCTATCTTCAAGATTCCATGGCCCTTTTAAAGTTTTTAAATAATTTTACATGGAAATCTAATTTTATACTGGTGACTTGTGACGTTCAGTCACTTTATACAATTATACCTCATGATATAGGCTGTCAAGCTGTAAGAGATATCTTGACGAGTGAGGGAAAAATTCCTGATATACAAATCGATTTTATTTTAGAAGGTATCAATATTATTTTAAAGAATAATTATTTTTGGTTTTTAAACTATTTTTATCTGCAAAAAAGAGGAACAACTATGGGAACTAAGTTTGCTCCCAGCTACGCGAATCTATTTATGGCCGACTGGGAATCTGCAGCTGTTTTTAGTGACCATGCTTGGAGAGCGAACCTAGTTTCATTTTTTAGATATATTGATGACCTTTTTTTTATATGGGAGGGTTCTGAAGACGATCTTAACTCTTTTATCACCAATCTTAATACCAACAATAGAGGCATAATCCTTACTCATGAATATAGTAGGGAACAAATTAACTTTTTAGACCTCAATATTTTTATTAAGAACGGCAAAATACACACTAAAACTTTTTTTAAAAAAGTATGCGCAAATACTGCTATAGATAAGAGCAGTTGCCATTATCAACCCTGGTTAGACAGTGCTCCCAAGAGTCAAATATTGAGACTCCGGAGGAACTGCTCAGAAATAAGTGATTTCAATACACAAGCTAATGCACTGAAAGACAAATTCATCGAAAAAAATTATTCTGAAACGGAATTGAACAATACCATTAGAGACATTCAAAACAAAGATAGATATGAACTTTTAAAATATAAACCCAAAACTACAGATGAATCCATGCCTCTACCAATTATTTTTAACTTTAATAACAAAAGTAATAATGTTAAAAAGATCATAAAAAAACACTGGCATATCCTACAACAGGACGACACCCTTGGTAAAATTATACCAGAGCGTCCGAATGTAATATTTAGAGGAGCCAGAAATTTTAAATCAATACTGACAAAAAATTATACAAAGGAAGTAAAAAATATACCCCCTCTATCCTTCTTTCCTCAAATTAAAGGTTTTTGCAAATGTAAGATGTGCATAGTCTGTAGAACTACTGACCCTGCTGTCCCATGTAAAGTTACTCAGTTTATGTCGAATCGAACAAACAAGGTCTACAAAATTTATGATTTTATTAATTGTTCTACGAAAAATGTTATATATCTGCTCGAATGTCCCTGTGGTCTCCAATATGTTGGAATGACCACAAGGTGCTTAAAAACACGCTTAAGCGAGCATTGCAGAAACATCAAAAATGGATACCAGAATCATTCAGTATCCAAACATTTTATTCAACACAACAAAGACCCTAGTATGCTGAAATGTATAGGCATAAAAAAATGTGTGATTCCCTGGAGGGGTGGAAATATTAAAAATATTTTAGGTAAAATAGAAATGGAGTGGGTGTACAGACTTCAAACTCTTACACCACATGGTCTCAATGTAGACTTTGATTTGTTTAACTTTTTATAATTTTTTATATTTTTTAATTTTTTAAAATTTATATATATATATATATATTTTTTTTTTTTTTTATTTTATATTTTCTTTTTCAATAGCCAGTACACCTTCCCATATCTATTTTATCTTTATCCCCTTTTTTATTTTTATTTTTTATTTTTATTTTATGCCATTTGTCTTGTGCCATAGGTTCTGTGTATTGTTCTTGCTTCTGTTTCCTTTTGTTTTGGAGGGCTTGGTCGGCCGTACTTTTCACATGCCGACAAGCTTCCCCTGTAGCCCAGACGACGGCTGCAGCCTTGTGCTCGCCGTCGTCTGTTTATCTGGTTTCCTTGACGACGGCCGCATTCCCGTGCGAGCCGCCGTCGCTCCACCCCTCCTACTGACGTCAGCCGCAATCATTGTGCGAGCTGACGCCTTACTGTTTACATAGACGCCGGCGGCTGCGCAGTGCGCGCCGGCGCCTATACTACTATTCCCATACTCCCCAGCGGCCCGGTGCCGGTCACATGACCGCGCACATTAAAGTATTAAATACTGAGTTATACCTCTCGTTTTTTACTTGTACTTATGCCATCATACTGATAATGAACATATTATTGCATAAGAGTATTGATTTTTCTATTTTTATACTGTATTATCATTTTATGTTTTTACTCATTGTTGATTGGCTGCTCATTTTAGGCGCCAATTTTATAGAATTACAGTTGTTATATAAACTATGTCATGCCAGGTTTCAGGTTCTTACCCCATATTGATAACGCCATTCTTGGCGAAACGCGTTTATGGACTTTTAATTGTGTATTTTATATATATATTAAAGTATATTTGGTTACTTTTTATCTGTGCCACTTATCCTTTTATACACTTTATTCACTACCTGGCATTCTCTCAACATCCCGGACTCCAAGAAATCCTAGGTGGGGATCATACCACCAGCGCTACGTCAAGGAGCAGTTGTTCTGCTCCCGCCTTGTGAGTACCCATTTTATTTTATTTGTTTTATTATCAACATTGTATCCAGTGTACACTATTGGCTGTTTCTTTCTACCAGAGTGTCGGATACACCACTGACGGAGGAAATCCACCCCATATCCCATAAGCGGGGATCAAACCGCTGTACGCCTTCTATACTAGAGCAAGTTTAGCTCTTTCAAATGTGAGTTTTATTTTTTCCTTTTAATTCATTTTTAGTGTTTTAAACATTTTACACTATTGGCTCTCCACCCTTTTATCTTCCATATACGAGTGGATTCCCACGGATGAACATATAAAGGACAATTGCTCCGGATCAAGCACGGATAGATCCCATACCCTCAAAGAGCATATTCTAGATAAGACTTTCTTATTTTACTACAGTTATTTATTTGGACTATTTGCTATTCCCATTTGTGTATTGGCGCAGCCCTTAACTTTTTATCTTTTCTCTCTATGAATAGAATATACCCAATAACACTGTTAGAGTGGATATGTCACCTATAAAAATCAAGTGTATATATTTGTATTTCATGATCTGTTGATTATTTTAAAATGTCACCTATACAAATCAAGTGTATGTGTGTGTATATACAGTTCATGATCTGATGATTATTTTAATAGGCAGATCATGTTTTAGAATTGTGCACTGTATGGATAAAAACATGATTGTGCAATTATTTCCTGGAGTGAGCAGGTCATAATGGAAGGATGGACTCTGTGCATACTGGGGGCTTTCATATATGTTCCCATCTGCCTTTGATTAGTGGGATTACACTCCTGAGACCTACCTAAAAATGGCAGCAGTTGACATAGCTACACATAATATGCATAACATTTTCCTGTATACACTTATTGCACATGTTCTGCTCAATTCTAGTACAAAAAGCCCCCCACATAATCTGGTGAACGAAAACCTGAGCGACGTTCTTTAAACCCAAAATTAACTGAATATACACTGAACAGCCACAACATTAAAACCACTGACTGGTGAAGTTAATAGAATTGATTATATCACTACAATTGCAACTGTCAAGGGGTGGAATATATTGGGCAGCAAGTAAACAATCAGTTCTTGAATGTCATGTGTTGGAAGCAGAAAAAAGTGGAAAGTGAAAAGATCCGAGTCACTTTGACAAGGGTCAAATGTTGATGGCTTGACAACTGAGTCAGAGTATCTCCAATAGCAAGTCTTGTGGTATGTTCCCAGTATGTAGTGGTTAGTACCCACCAAAAGTAGTGCAAAGAAAAACAACTGGTGAAAATATGTCAGGGTCATTGATGCGTTTAGGGAGTGGAGGCTAGTTCGTCTGGTCTGATCACACAGAAGAGCAACTGTAGCTCAAATTGCTAAAAAACCTAATGCTGGCCTTGATAGAAAGGTATCAGAACACAGCTGTATATGGGGCTTCATACACGCAGTCCAGTCAGAGTACCCATGATGACCACTGTCGAAAGCACCTTTAATTGGGATGTGAGCATCAGAACTGGACCATGGAGCAACGGAAGAAACACATTTTTTTTTGATCAGGTGGATGGTCGAGTTTATGTTTAGCAGGATGCACTATGGGAAGACGGCAGGTTGCCGGAGGCATTGTTTTGCTCTGGTCAATGTTCTGCTTGGAAACCTTGAGTCCTGGCATTTATGTAGATGCTACTATGCCAATGAACACCTACCTAAAGATTATTGCAGACAATGTAAACCCCATCATGGCAATGGCCTCTTTCAACAGGATAATACACCCTGCCACACTGCAAAAATTGGTCAGCAATTGTTTGAGGAACATGAGAAAGAATTCAATGTGTTGCCATTGCTTTCAAATTACCCAGGTCTCAAAGGATCTGTTGCTAATGACTTGGAACCAGATACCACAGGACACATTCAGCGTTCTTGTGGAGTCCATGCTTTAAAACATCAGAGCGGTTTTCGCACCATGAGGGGGAAGTACATGATAATAGGCAGGTGGTGTTAATGTGTCTGATCAGTTTATTACTCTAACATTAATGATAAACAAAATATACTTAGGTGGTGAATACCTCCCATTCCAACTTTGTTGAACTGACTTAAAAATTATAGAGATCTGAACTGTCTGATGCTACATATAAATTGCATATTTTAATCACTAGACAGTAAAAGTTTCATTATTATATTCAGGTTATCACGTGCAACTCTCTGACTATGAACTAGAAGATGATGTACTATAAAGTGATTCTACTGTTTTTACCAATAACTGCAATATCCAAGTTTTTGGTTCTAGGCTTTAGACATGTAGGCTTAACATATTTCTTTATTGGAGTACACGTACATACAAAATTAATGCAGAACAAATCTATGTTATGCATTCATTCCATAGATATCATCTTATGAAGTAGAAATATTACCCACTTAAACTTAACAAGCACACTAGTGAGACATTACATAAAAAATATTTCAGCAACAGTGAAACTCAAATACTATACACAGACTTATAAAAAAAAATTGTTACACGTGGTGCATGCAATGACGACTCAATAGACAGATTGATGCCATTAAACATTTAGCCTTGCTGTGGAACTGTACACCAGTGTCACGTCGAGATTTCCCTACATTAAAGAGAAATAGTAGATTTGTGTAAAACAATTTTGGAGAGATTCGACCAAATCAAATTCTTTTTAATCCACAGATGAACGATGCAGTTGTCTGGGATTTACCTCTGACATCTTATTTAATGGATAAGACACCACATGTAATTACCAGGCAAGTTTGAATTTGAATGAACTGCTCCAAACAATTTTTTTTTCGGTCTACTGAATAGTATTCTTCTCAGTTAGACCTAACTGATAAATATCGAACATGTCTTAAAATTAATAGAATTTGAACTTGGATACTTGCAGTAAAAATAAAATTTTCTATGGTAATTTAAACATCTGGCTATCACAAAGCTATGCACCACTGCTTAAAAAATTCAAGTGTGTGAGTATATTATTTATAACACACACACACACACACTTCATCCCGGCTCATCAACCTTAGACTACACATTTGCTGGACACCTAATTGACATGACACTGGACCGTGTACAAGGATCCGCTAACTTAGCTTTTTACTTTTGGTTTTCAGACCTTGTAAAATGGAGCTGTGGCTGCAATAATGATACATTAGATAACCTGACATGTCAAGTGCAGGTGACCTTACTTTGCCTTTAATATAACATGCCAAGTGCAGTTGACTATACTGTTTGCCTTTATTTTAGCAATTATATAACTTGCGGGTCAGCAGTGATGCACTTTATATATAAGACTGTCTGCACTACTTTGTGAGGTCACATAAGCGATGCACCACAGTCACATATTAAAGCTTTATAATTTGTATCCCTTCCCCCATATGCTGAATAAATTGCACAAAATTGCTCATTGATTTTCCTACTGTCTTTGCTCAGCCGGTTTTGTCATATTATTGGCTTTCTGACATAAGCAAATAACTAAATTGAATATGTAAAAGTAACACTAAGTGTGTGAGTCCTAAGATTGGTCTCTGACTGACATGCATCGCCACTTCAGACTACTGTAGATGTACTGATGCTTTGAACCATTCACCCTTTTAATGTTAGCTCTGCCAGTCACCGAAGATCATACCGACACATTTCTAGGTATGGGATCAGCCACAGGATGGATACTTGATTTAAAAAAAGGTGTAGGTTCTATGTTAAATCACTTGTCTCTGTAGGTTATGCATCTTAGTACGTCTCCTTGGCTACTCATCAAATAAGTTCAACATCTGATAAAGCTAAGAACTAGAAAATGTGACTTTACACAGAAAACAAGTACAAAGACCAGTCACAGTCAGCTATCCAAGTGTCCCAAAATGATGCTGAGACATCCTACACTTTCATTTTACAAAGACTAAACCGATAGTAAGAAGTATGAATGTCTGGAATAGATTGCTATACAGTGAAAACATCTACATTGTGGAAATGTTTAATCAACTTTATCAACATCCACATGTTTTTTTTCTCTTCAATTTGTTATCTAGCCTCAACTAGTTCCTAAATAACAATGGTGGTTATGTATGAAGAAATATCTAGGCTCAAAGTTCTAGAAGTAAAGTGAAAATCAGGAATGTCCAATTGATAGCAAATTCGAAGGCCCGAAATATTGTTTGGTTTGTATACTTGTGCTTAAGTTTGCAGTGTAGTATGCAAGTAGTATGTGGCTCCACTGTTTTTTTTTGCAAGTTTTAAAACATCATAATAATTTTTTTTTCTCATATTTCCTTGATGTTGCAGCCAACAGGAGACTACTTATGCATTAATCACATATAGTAATGTCATTTATAATTAGTATTATTTTTACTATAGCCTTAAAAGTACTGCCTACATTTGGAGACGAGTTGAAAACCTGGCAGTTTTTAAAGGTCAGTGCCACATAACAACCTGAATAGCCCTGAAAAAAGTCCTACCAACAGAATAGTGATGAAGAGCAGCATGAAAGAGTATTGTAATATTTTTCCAACTAAATGTGCATTACATTAAGGACAAAATTCTAAACACGCAATAAGAGATTATTTTATCCTATGGGGATTGTAATAATTTTTGGTTTTCCATTCTTTTACGCTCCCTCTGATAGCACCACTCTTACAATTTTGCTCCAGAAGCATTATTTATACGTAATCCCCATTTTGCTTATTTTTAGAATACACATTAGAAATAAACTGTGAGTACATATCTCTACAATTATTTTGAAAATTGTACACCAATGTTGCATATTTCTTGTGCAAAAGGGAAAAGGAAACATGAGTTAATAAGCTTTTGCAAAATACAATAAAAGCTTTGTGGCCTCCATGTAGTCTGAGTTCAGGACATCCGTGATGGCACAACTTCTAGAATGTCCTTCACAGTTAATCATCACGAAACGTTCTCCAAAGCTTGGCAGTAGCATATTGATAAACTTTGGACAGTAACACTTTGTCCAAAGCATTTCATCTTCTGAAACGCCACAGGGATAAATCCTTACACCACTCCACCCTGCCACATGATCAAAGCTCAAATGCAGGAAAGCGTGACTTTTCTGGGGACAAAATGTCTGACAGGAAGTGGAGAGCACCAGCCATTCCTAAAACAGAGTGAATATGTATGGTCAGTATACAGGAACTTTAGTAATAATAGGCAGCAGTATCTACTATTCATTTAAATAAAATAAAAAAAAGTTAATTCCAAGATTGTTTAGGTTACTATTGGTAAAAATAACATCTACTGGTAAGGACCCCCGCCCCCGCACCCACCAAACAAACGCTACTGAGTGTAAGTGTTTGATTTAAGCCCATTGCTAAGATACACATTCAAAAGAAATAAAAAAATCACAACACTATTAGTTAAAAAAGATGGTGGTGTTTATAAAACATGTTAAAAAAAAAATTTGCATTAGAAAGGTACACATCAAATGTTTATTCACTAAACACAGACATGTAGTGAACTGAAACCCAAATTTCAAAATTCAAGTATTCAATATTTAAGTACGCTTTGCCTAAAATTTACAATTCAGATTTCAATCTTACAATTCAGTGTTGAGTGAATAAACCTCATAATCTCATAATCTGTATACAACTTTGGTGAAATTGTTAGAAACATTATGAACGAATAGATATACTTACCTAAAGACTGCAAATGCCTATTACCAAAATGGCCACCAGAAATTGCAGAATAATACACATGGCAGCCATCAATGTATATACTGAAGGCAATGGCTTGACTACGTTTCAGTTTGAGATGGGAGGGCTTTGAAAATGATAAATAATATGTGCTTGTTATGGTGATCACATATTTAAATTTTCCATATGGTTTCTAAAAACTATAGAACATAAAAACTTTTCGGTGATCCCCATACTCCGACAATAAGGGCTAATGCGCATGTACCATGAGTGCATTAGGCCCTTCCTACAGGAAAGCATTACTTCAATGCCTTTCTATTGGGATTTAATGGACACTGGATGTCCTCATGCACAGCCTGAGGACGTTCAGCATCAATTGGGCCACCAAAAGGCACCTAGCAATCAGGAAGTGCCTCTAGTGGCTGTCTGACTGACAGCCACTAGAGGCAGTTTGAGTCCTGCAATGTAGTTATTTCAGTTTCTCAAAAAACTGCAATGATTTACATTTCAGGACTAAGAGGGACAGGGACATTGCACCCAGACCACTTCAATTAAATGTTACAAAGCTACTTAAAATCACCTATCTTAGCAAAGAAATATGGGGATGTAGTTACACCATATATTTGGAATCCAGACCAAATTCATTTTGGGATGAGCACCCCACACCTCCCTGTTGGAGGTGACCACAAGAGAGTCTCTAAAACAGTTAAGCAGTGAGTATTGCAGTTAGCATGTTTATATCTTATGTAAAATTGGTTTAGAACCCAACGATATTAGGGGTTGGCTTAACATAATATGGACATATATTTGTTTGATAAGAAAAAGGATTTTAAGTAGCTGTGTCAAATTTAAAGCAGTATTTTTTGTGTGTGCACCCTTCCTTAATCTGTACTTTAATATACCAGGGCTAAGGGGGACCTCAAAGTATTTCACCAAGCTTTAGGTGTCTGGAGGATCCCTTTAATTGAAATGCGTGTTCTCTCTCTGTTTGGTTTCATTTTTTGGATGGGTGTGGGTGTTCTCATGTACTGACAGGAGACATTCCTTATAGTTCACGTGTGAACACATCTAGACAATGTAGTTCCATTTGTAACAATTGCAATTATTTATGAAGTGACAACATATTCTGCTGCGCTGTGCAATATGTAAAGCAAGACCAACGATTAATTCTAACAAAACATATTTGACATACAATTCAATAGGTGAAGAAGGCCCTGCCGCTGTGAGCTAAACCAAATAGTTTTAAAAAGCACATTTAGTCTATTATTTGCTGAATATGCTGTACTTATATTTCAAACATAATACTTTTATACACACCACATTTTATGTTCCCAGTACTCTGTTGATCCATGAAAAACAAAATTCAAAACAAACAAAAACAAGAAACTGTTTGCCACAGTTGTAGAAGCAGTTCTATTACAAAACATCTGTCTTCTCTAAATGATATATAACACAAGCTACCATAAATACTCTGCTAAAAACATAAAAATAGTTTCCCAAGGCATTTTTAGTACATTACTCAAACACTCCGCTCCTTACCTTCAAAGAGAGAATATGGTCTATCAGGAATACGGCACCCATGTTTTCCATAGTCTAAACACCACTCTGCAAACTGTCGGAGACATAGCAACAAGTATTCAAATTATTGTACTAATCATGATATGCCAGATTGCTCAACAGTAAATGGACACTTTTAAAGAGTAAAAGGTGAATACATTTCTTAACGATGACTTCAATAGTTATTCAAGTGTGAAATTTGCCATTCCCATGTCAGTTATAGCAATAGCATATAATACAAGTATGGAAATAATTTAGAGTTTTAAATAAAAAAAAAAAACAAACAAACAAACAAACAAACATAAAACAGAATATTAAAATAATAAAGCCTAAAATGTAGGAAAAACAGTAAGCAAACACACCAAAACAATATGGTGGTCTCATTTTAGCTTATTTGCACATCACTAGAGTATCCCTCCATCAAATGGGTAATTAATCATGTCTAGAAGTTTATAAGCCACACATCACTGAGTGAGGCTGAACAAACACCTGGGGTTGCTGTATCCCTCATGCAGTGATAGTGAAATTTCACTTACCAGAGTTAAACTAAATAACTAAAACTTAAATAAATAAATAAATAAATAAATAAGCATAATCACTTAATTTACTAGCATTTAAGTGTATATTTTTTTTAAAATAATTACTCATAGAATGCATTAAAATAGAGCCTGCAGAACACGGTCACTCAACTGATGTTTAGCAGAACCGTCTAGTGTTAAAGTAATGTTAATAATCTCTCTTTACAGCACTGCATAGCCATTATGCAGCTCTATTATAAAACAATGCCCAACATTGCAGCAAATTCTTAATCACATTAGTTATCCACAAGTGAAAATCATTTTTTGCCCCATTACCATCTGTTGACAGGTTTATCCTGCTTACACACTGCTCCTCTCACACCTCACCATTTTATTATGGATTTCTTTTTTTTTAGTATGTTAAATTGTGCTAATGAATTAGCTAAATTTTCCCTCAATATATATACTGAACAAAATTATAAACGCAGCACTTTTGTTTTTACCCCCATTTTTCATGAGCTGAACTCAAAGATCTAAGACTTTTTCTATGTACACAAAGGGCCTATTTCTCTCAAATATTGTTCTCAAATCTGTCTAAATCTGTGTTAGTGAGCACTTCTCCTTTGCCGAGATAATCCATCCACCTCACAGGTGTGGCTTATCAAGATGCTGATTAGACAGCATGGTTATTGCACAGGTGTGCCTTAGGCTAGCCACAATAGAATGCCATTCTAAAATGTGTATTGGGGGAATCAGGGAGGTCCGAAAACCAGTCAGTATGTGGTGTGACCACCATTTGCCTCACGCAGTGCAACACATCTAGTTCGCATAGAGTTGATCAGATTGTTGAATATGGCCTGTGGAATGTTGGTCCACTCCTCTTTAATGGCTGTGCGAAGTTGCTGGATATTGGCAGGACCTGGAACATGCTGTCATATACGCCGATCCAGAGCATCCCAAACATGCTCAATGGGTGACAGGTCCGGTGAGTATGCTGGCCATGCAAGAACTGTGATGTTTTTAGCTTCCAGAAATTGCGTACAGATCCTTGCAACATGGGGACGTGCATTATCATGCTGCAACATGAGGTGATGGTCGTGGATGCATGGCACAACAATGGGATCTCGTCACGGTATCTCTGTGGATTCAAAATACCATCAATAAAATGCACCTGTGTTCATTGTCCATAACATACGTCTGCCAATACCATCATAACCCCACCGCCAACATGGGCCACTCGATCCACAACGTTGACATTAGCAAACCGCTCACCCACACAACGCCATACACACTGTCTGCCATATGCCCTGTACAGTGAAAAACGGGATTCATCTGTGAAGAGAACACCTCTCCAAACAGCCAGATGCCATTGAATGTGAGCATTTGCCCACTCAAGTCGGTTACGATGACAAACTTCAGTCAGGTCAAGTCCCAGCAGATGAGCTTCCCTGAGACTGGTTCTGACAGTTTGTGCAGAAATTCTTTGGTTATGCAAGCCGATGGTTGCAGCAGCTGTGCGAATGGCTGGTCTCAGACGATCTTGGAGGTGAAGATGCTGGATGTGGAGGTCCTGGGCTGATGTGGTTACACGTGGTCTGCGGCTGTGAGTCTGGTTGGATGTACTGCCAAATTCTCTGAAACGCCTTTGGAGACGGCTTATGGTAGAGAAATGAACATTCAGTTCACGGGTAACAGCTCTGGTGGACATTCCTGCAGTCTGCATGCCAATTGCACGCTCCCTCAAAACTTGCGACATATGTGGCATTGTGCTGTGTGATAAGACTGCACATTTTAGAGTGGCCTTTTATTGTGGCTAGCCTAAGGCACACCTGTGCAATAATCATGCTGTCTAATCAGGATCTTGATATGCCACACTTGTGAGGTGGATGGATTATCTCAGTAAAGGAGAACTGCTCACTAACACAGATTTAGACAGATTTATGAACAATATTTGAGAGAATTAGGCCTTTTGTGTACATAGAAAAAGTCTTAGATCTTTGAGTTCAGCTCATGAAAAATGGGGGCAAAAACAAAAGTGTTTATAATTTTGTTCAGTGTATAGAAGTATATTGAGCAAAAACAAACAAACCATAGCTGAATAGCAGAGTAGCTAACAGTATGAATGCTAGTACTGAGTCCCAGATAATATAACTTATGAGCACATATGTACATCTGACTGACTGAACATGGAAATAGACTGATTGGTTATTGTATTTTGCTCGTATGGAGCCCCAGGTGGCACATTCATTCTACAAGTTGATTTCCTATGCAGTGCCGGTGTTTTGTATGCCTTACATACTATTTGCTTGATTAAGTAAATCCTTCCCACAATGTAAGTATAGCGTGTGCATATTAAGTCATGCATGCGATAAAATCCTCATGGGAACGATTTTCTAGATTTATGTCATTTAATAGAGCACACGCACAATATAAAAAAACACATTTTTTTTAAATCCTGTAGCGTCTTTGGAGCTAAAAAAAAAACATAATTCATTTCTGCCCTCTTATAAACTCCTCTTTCACAAATAAAACACTTCTTTATTACTTTGTTCTACTAGTGTGCTTCTCTTGTCTTCTGTCTGTTCTTACATTGCCAATTTTCATCTACCGGACTTGACTGCAGGATTCCTATGTAATGCTCTAACTCATGCTATCTGACTTTCTTCTAGTCTTCAGTCCCTCAAAACTAATGTCGTTACAGCTTTTATTATCTTTCTGGATATCTTCTACTGTTATAGCAGTACACTCGTCCTTCTACACATAAGCTGTATTTTTCACAATCTAACCTTCTACTCTGTGGTTCCCACACACTCCACTTTTACAAGGTTAACTAAAAAATAGCACCAGATCTACCAAGCTCTCCTCTGACACATTTTTCTTCCTTGTTTCTTCTTTTGCCAAATAAGGTTGCCTACTCCTATCCTGAAAAGGCAGTGTTTACATTAAAAAGCCTGCAGGAACGGACTATACTCACCAGAACAACTACAATAAGCCGTAGATGTTATGGAGACTATAGTGTCCCTTTAAGGGTCCATCCAACATCTTAGATTTTTGATGAATTTAAAGCTGAACATTTTAGGCAAAAACAGCTGATTTGGAAAACACAAGTTCCAGCTTGGTCATCTTAGTCTAAACTGTTTTCAATATGCTACAATTGGGTGTTGAGTGAATTAGCCCCATCAGTATATATGTTTGTTAATGGATCAGCTCTAGGAGGGTCAATTTACCTTGCAGGCTCTGTAGAGATACTTCTTGTCCTGTGTATGATGATAGAGTGATAAGAAGGAGTACCCATTCCCAGAGGTACCATGACATATACCATAGCCCTTCCGCAGAAGTCCCCTCTGCCAGATGACATCACTGCATTCCATTGCATCTTTTAAGTACTTTTCCTCTTTAAAAACCTAAAATATAAGAAAGTTTAAATAATAAGAAAATAAAATGTAAAAAAAAAAAAAAATCCACATTTGGCATATACATTTCAGCTTCATTTTCTGTTGTCCATAATTCCAGTCCTTATTTCATAATGTCACTGTATAATAAATTCCCCTAATATTTCAGTCATGACAAGTGCTAAAAAAATAAGAACATGCAATAAATGTTAAAACATATTGTAGAAGTAGTGCACTCAAAAATGAGCACATCTGGTTTATCAATCTATATCTCACTTTATGACACAGTTCGTGGAATTCGTTCATCAATATAGGTGTCAAACTAGTAGTGAAAACAACCACCAAAAAGGGTGGAGCATTATTAATTCGGTTTAAGAGTTGTCCTTAATTTACGAGGACACTTTTTAAAAACTGTAGGCAGTCAGTCATGCAATGGGTACTAAAATAAGGGAGGTTGAATTAAAACAGGAAAAGGTTGCTCTTTTCTAACCTCAACCCATGTACAGGATAACATACCTAATGGACCTCACATAATTTTTCAATTCATATTGGGTTAATATTCAGAGGTAAAACAAATCTACTGTATGACCCTTGGTCTGTGCAGGCTGCCATTATTATTGCTGTGGCAGAACCGCTGCCTATTCATGAATCTCCTGTTTCTTTTACATGTGTTTTCCTTGTATTTTTGTTTTTTTGTTCTTGCTCCCCGTTCGGCAGTGCTTTCACAAAGGGAATCAAAGGGAATTCATTCACCTCTTAAACGGGGACCACCCAGATGCCTCATTTAGAATGTTGGGTTAGATCATTCCCACCTCATAACAAAAGTGTCAAACCAGAAACAATTAATGAGTGCTCCCCTGGGTGGTCGCAAGTTCGTTAGACAAACGCCAGCCAGGGGGAGCATTCGTGGTTGTTTCTGGACTTCTTCATCTCCCGAACGAGGACCTCCCCGGCGCCCCATTAGAACGCTAAAACCAATTAATCAGAACGTTCGCACTAGGTGTGAAACCGCAAGGGAAGTAATTAATGAGTGTTCCCCTGGGTGGCCGCTATTAGTACAGACGAATGCCAGCCAGGTAGAGCATTCATACCCTGAAAGGAGATGCTTCCCTTGTCTGGGTTTCACACTGGGACCTCGTGAACGGGGCTAGTCGATGGAAGGACCACTATGAGGGTCCCTGAGATTGGTGTGGGCACTTTTGAGGAGCTGGCAAGTATGGCAGGCTTTCCTGAGCCTGTGGGACAAAGAGACCAGCTCGTTTCCTGTGCCTTGGAGACAAAGGGACGGCTCATTTTTCCCGCACCTGGACTTCCAGGCATAGAGGTTCATGGGAAGAAGACACCCTGGTGGTCCCCAGGGAGTGCGGCAACCCCTGCAAGGAAACACAAATTGCCTTTCAACTCCTTCAAAGATTTCAAGGAAGCTGAGGAGGGCATTGACGACTTTCTGTAGGCCTTCAAACGCCAGTACCTCCTGCAGGAAGTCGGCCCCACAGACTGGGTTCCCATCTTGGCCAGGAAGATGGAGTGGGCTTGCCGCATAGCCATAGCCACCTAGAACTGGATGAACTCAGGCCAAGTCTCCCAAAGAGATCCTCCAGCTATTCATGCTGGAACACTTTTACAATGGACTCCCTACTGAAGTGCAGGAATGGGTGAGAGACAGGCAGCCCAAGACCTTGACAGAAGCAGCCCAGCGGGCCGATGAGTATGTAGATACCTGATGGCCCCAAAGCCCCGCTACCTCTCACAGCTACCGACCCTCATACGACACTTTCCACAACCTACCCCCTCTGCAACAGCCCCGCTCCGGGGTCCCCAGTCTCGGACAACACCCCAGCGGGCGCCGACCAGGGTAGATCAACTATGCCATCGATGCTACTAGCCCGGTCAAGAGGGATTGTCCCTAGTCCAGGGACCGACCCTTCTGCCCCCTTGAGCAGCAGCCCTCTGCTACCAGACTGTCCCCCATAACTCCCACGAAGAAGCTTGGCCCTTCCTGCATGAGGTGAACCCCAGCCAAGCAGCCAAAGACACCACAGGCAGCCGGTCCGGCTGAACGGAGCACTTTATAAAGGGGCTGCGAGACACCGGAGCCACCCAGACCCTCGTTCAACGCCGGCTCATTACAGAAGGGGAGAAGACCGGGGGAACGGTCGCCATCCAGGTAGCAGGGGGAACCATCTACCGCCTACCCACGTGCACCTCGACCTGGGGTGTTGGAGACTAGAAAGTCAGGCTCATGGACGAGCTACCAGTGCTACTTGACACCTCCACCTATGTGCCCCACTAGGCTGCGGAAGAATCCTACCCGGTGATGACCCGGCAGCAAGCCTGCAACACCTGGCACGGCTCACACTCTAGGGCTCAGGTAGGCACACGTACCCGTCCCCATGCCCCAATTCCACGTAGTCGAATCTGTAGTGGTTATGGTGTCTGGAATCCTCAGGAAACATCCCACAGTAAGTAGATCAGTGCACCTCTGATCTGGTATCCTTTTCTGAGATACAGCAAATGTTCCTACTTATGATTTATTGGTGACAATTACGCTTTTTTTTTTTTTTAATGGATTTCACTGTCTAAGACAACCAATTAATTAAATCAAAATAGGGCCAAAAATTATATACCTAATACCCAATGGGAACTTTGTTTCAGATGTATCAGAGGAGAAAGCCTAACCTGTGGTGTCTTGCAGATCTAGGTAAGTGCTAAACTGTCTGAGTACTTACCATGGGACAGTGACAAGGTAATTCTGACATGATAACCAGTAGAATTGGCTTTAGTAGTCATGGTGCCTACACTACACTGCCCTTTAGTCTAAAGGGGAAAAAAGACACATGAGATGATGATGACTGATAATACAGATTCTAAACAGGTTCATATAATTAGAGCCCTGCACTTTATAAAAAATAGTAGAAGTGGGCATATAGGTGTAACCCAATTCTTTAGTTAAAGGACAATAATAAACTACAATAACACTTAATGTAAATTGCAACCATATTAATTCAGTTGTCGAACAGCCATTAATAAACAATTATGTCCTCTAATTGCACCTCGGGACATTAAACCCTCTGCCCACATAGGAAAACCTTGTAAAATGCAATCTTTAAGAGATCCGACAGCCTGATGAACAATTTTGTAAACAGGCATGAATTTGTATAATACGATTTAATTGCTTTCTGCAAACAACACGAGGTAGAGGATGTGAAGATAATTAGAGTCTTTATGGCAGCAGCTAATGAACAAAATCTGGGTCACAAAGCTCAGCTTGGCTGTCACACGAAGATGAGATGTGCCAAACAGTAGGGGACCTGTTGGTAACCATGTTAAATTCTCTAACAGGATTTGTTAGGCATGCTACAGCAAACCACAGCTTTCTAATCCAACTGGTGGAAAGAAATGCAAGGATGTGCTTTGTGAAAAAACTATACCCTGATTTGTGCTCAGGGTAGAATTAACAGAACAGCAAAACAAACACACTGAGGTGAACACACATTAATCTAAACACAAAGGCTTCGCAAGTAAAAGGCACAGTCAAGTAATGTGCCGCCTTCCAGAAAGCATGGTCTTTTATGGAGATGCCAGTTTGAGGGATTACATAGAACCACCCAGCCTGAGGAACATGAGAGGCCATTGCAATCCTTTGCTGTTGCAAAGCTGGCATTGAAATAAACACATAGCAGTGTACTCTTCAGTTTCATCCTCGATCCTGGATTCATAACGATTAAGGCAGCTCCTATCAATAATCACCTACTTCTGCCCTTTTTAGGGCATTAGGGTTTTTCAAAAATGCTTTTTTTCTCTTTATTATGCACTATTGGCCATTACTGATCATGTCCACCCCCTTATTTGCTTTAAAAATCTATTAAATTAAGTTAAAACTTACATGAGAAAAAGACTAGACCATCAAAGTATCCAAAGTAGAAAAATCTACAAACACCAGTCAAGCCATAAGACTTGCTTTTCCCACAGAAATCACAAATCTGCAGTGTTGTTGCAGTGTGCTATTACTACCGCAAAGGAGTCTGGGTGGGCATATGCAAATTAGTTTAACAAGGAATATATTTTTATTTTCTGTTGATATCAAAAAAAAGTTTTCATTTTATTATATTATATTATATCCTTTTGGGATGTATATCAGGGCTTGGTGACATAATTATCGTTTCATTTCCATGCTCAGTCTTACATGGTCCAATAAAATGCTTCTAAGAGGGAAGCATTTGACTGAAACCATTTCACTAGTTCAGAGCACATGGACAGAGGGAGGGAGAAGACACTGAAGCTTCTTCTCACAGCGCACTGCGTGCACGGAAAAAGATCATTACATGCAGTGCACACTGACAACAGCCAGTTTTTGAAAAAGATTGATATTAAAGGGACACTATAGTCACCCAGACCACTTCAGCTCAATTAAGTGGTCTGCATTCCAGGTCCCTCAGGTTTTAACCCTTCAGATTCAAACATAGCAGTTTCAGAGAAACTGCTATTTTACATTTGGGGTTAAGCCAGCCTCTAGTGGCTGTCTTCCGGACAGCCACTAGAGGCGCATCTGCGACGCTGGAGGCATATTATGCCTCCATCGCATAAATGCTTTCCTATTGACCGCATGAATGCGCGCGCGGCACTTGTCGCACATGCACATTCGGCTCCGCTGACGTCGGCAGAGGGAGCTGACGTCGGTGGGGGAGGAGAGGTCACCAGCGCCGTGGGAGCCCAGCGCTGGAATAAGGTAAGCTGCTGAAGGGGTTTTAACACCTTCAGCGCTACGGGAGGGGGACCCTGAGGGTGTGGGCACCCTCAGGGTACTATCGTGTCAGGTAAACCGCTTTTTTTTCCTGACACTATAGTGATCCTTTAAGCAGCATGTGTGCTGGGGCTGTAACTAGCCCCCGGCAAAAAAAAGCAAATATCTCAGTTTGTGCAGCTTTTCAAGCAGATATGGACTCCTACCACCAAGAAAACTTCTAAAAGCAGTAGTAGCAATGTTGGTTGAAGTAACATTTTAAGTGTTCTTATTGCTACTACACAGCTTACCTACAACTGAGTGGATTGAGCATGAAATGTTACATGTGGTGTTATCTGGGGTGATTTTGCACCTGCTATATATTGGGTGAGTTGCTCTGCGAAGTGAAAAATCAGTGTAAGTGTAAATGCACCAATAAATAATTGTACAATAGATACTTTTACCAACTTTGGAAACATAACAGAACCTGCAAAATTAAAATTAAAAATGCACAGTGTAGTATATACAAATTCACACTTATATTTATAAAATGTGTAATATCCACTTACATACTGCTGAGTCAATTTTAAGCAGTATGTGAGTGGATAGTTCACATTTTATAGATACAAGTTTGAATTTTTATATACTACACTATGTTTTTTGAATTTTATTTTACAGGCTCTGTTCTATTATGTTTCCGAAGTTGGTATAAGTATTTATTGTACAATTATTTATTCCTGCATGACATTCTGGTGTATTTACACTTACACTGTTTTTTTGTTTGTTTTGCACTGTATATTTATTGGTGTGTTGGAGTGGCACCAAAGTGAGTGTAGTTTTGCACTATACTAGCATTTTCCACCTCTGCATGTTTGTGTTGTATTGTATAGATCTGTGAAGTGAGCAACACTATTTTGCATGTCAAGCTACTTTGGATGGTCTCCTAAAGGTGAAATTATCTTCCCTCTAAAGCCTGTGGCTTGTGACACAAATCACCATATAGTCTAATAATATAACCATTCATCTGTAGATTCGAGATAACTGTTTATCTGCGATAACATTAGAATATTCCTTCCCAGCAACAAGTCTGGATGCTTCAGGCAATAATGATGATAGAATGATAGAGGAGAATTCTACAAACCTTTATTTCTAACATCAAATTATACTCTTGTCAATGTAGATTAACTTCCCCCTTTCCCCTTGAGACACAAATAAAAATATTTTACTTACCTTTAGTCCCATACCACACTGATATAGCTGCAGCCATCACTTCACAATGGCTGAGATCATCACTGATGATCTCAAAAAATCCAATGCTTCCACATAGGGAGCATCGAGAAACCTACTGTGCATGTGTGGAAATTGTCTCTCTAACATTTCCTCATAGGGATGCGTTATCCCAATGCATTTCTATGGGGAGCATTCCGCATCTTCATAAAAAGCGTACAAATGACACATGTTGATCCTGCAAGGAGAATGCATACCTCTAAATCTATAATATAATATGCATAGAGGACTAGTTATATTTATAATCTACTGAAACTAATGAATTCGTTTTATTAGCCAGACCCTTCAAAACCGCGTAATGTGACATGTTAAGCACCATCATATTTCTGCTTCTAATAGTGGGCGTAAACTGCCAAGCAAACTGCTGTTGACTATGGAAATATAATGACTCTCTTTTGAGACATACACGTTTTGTACAACCTATCAGAATGGAGATTTGACCTTGAAAGAACAGACTGACCTTGTGAGCTTGTATTAGCATATGTATGACTCCTGGTGCTCCATGGCACCAATGCACCAGTCTGTCTGTTTCATTGCTTAAGGAGGATGGATAATTTCCAGATCGAAATTTCTTGTGACGCACATAGTCTATGCTTGGCTTCACCAGTTCATTTAATGTATCTTGTTCAACTTTTGATAAAGGCTGTAAAAACAAAACCACAACACTTAAAGAAAAAACACAAATCAACTGGACTTAAATGTTTATAGAAGATTAAATAGGTTTTTGGATATATGCACCTAATGCTGGGTAGTTAAAGCTATACTCTATGCACCAAAACAACTTTAGTTTAAAATAGAGGTTTTGGTGTATAGATCAAACCCCTGCAGTTTAATTATCTGCCATTTAGGAGTAATCACCTTGATTATACAGCCCTAACAACACCTCCCCTAGCTGAGACTTACTAAGCCTCTATACAAACCTCCTGAAAAAAGGCTAAAGATTTTAGCTTCCCTTAAGCACAGTGTGTAAAATGTATAATTTCTTATTTACCGATTGTTAATAGTCTGTCACAGCCTCCTGTGTGTGACTAAAGTTCAATTAACAGAGGAGGATTTAATAACTTCTAAAGTAAACACACTGTTGCAAGATCTGATTCAAAATAAAACCTTTTTTCCCCATGGAGGCAGCTAGGATTGCATAACCAAAGGGATTTAACTCCTAAATGGCAGAGAACAGAGCGGTGATAATGAAGGGGCACAATATATGCACCAAAACAGCTTCATTATGCTAAATTTGTTTTGGTGCTTAGTAAGTCCATTTAAACCAAATTGTTAACGATCACACTTAATTCGAAATAAGGGGGAAAAATAAATATACGAACAAAACATAGATTTCCCATCTCTGGGAGTCATGGAAAGTGTTTTCTGGTGACTTGCAAACTCAGACTCTACTTGGCTGTGAAGATACTGTGACCATAAAAGGTAACTACTTCTATACCACTCACTGCTTTTAGAAGCAGAAGGGCAATATTATTTTTAAAGATAAAGATATTTTTAAAAAATCTCTTTAAAATGTGTATTTTTTTTTTACAAATCCCAAAAGCTTTATATTGTCCTTTGGATTGGATAGACATCGGCGTTCTGAACGGAGAATAGCTATTTTGGTACATTTACACCTTATCATACACACTTTACTGGCATAAGTAAAGCTACTTTCCATGAACCAGCATGTATTATAAACAGTGACTTGATCATGCACTCTACTGCAGTTATTAGATCATAGGTTTACAGATGGGAGAGGGCAGTATGTTTAGTGAATATAGTGAAACATGAAAAAACTGTTCAGACTTGTAGAGTGCAATTTTACTGCACAATGCAAGGGAATGAATACCTCTTGCAAGAGGATTTCTGAACCAAACAGCTTGCAAATGTGTTTGCTCACTGTGCCTAGAAGAATATCAGCAAAATCTTGCTGATTGGGTCAGAAGAGGCTGGGGTTCCTATATCTCTTGTGATACTCGGTTGTCCTTTTATTTGTCAACTGTCCTTGTGAGTGGGATTAGTCTGATATGTATATAACACAGCTTTCCTCTGTTGTGGCCCAAGTGAATTCAAATATTTTTTGAAAACTGAGCAAGGACTAAATGAAGGACAAGCTAAACAGATTTGTAAAACATTTTTTCCTTGTTCTCTTACTTACTGTTTTGTTTTTTATAATCTAGTAATATATACATTTTTTTCTATTAACAAGATTAAACTAATACTGAATAGAAGTGTCCCGGTTTGCTTTTGTCACAGTTTATATTATTTACTCAAACGGTCTATGTCATATAGCACCCTCGAATGCCCATAGACACAGATTCTCACATTTTACATTGCGTGTCTACATCTACTTACCTGCATTAGCATGAAGTAAATCCCTGCTAAGCCATGTGCTGCTCCGACATAATATTTTTTGTGCCACTGATACAGCAGGGGGCAGCGCTCAGTCTTGTGCTCTTCTTTTGACAAGTTTTTCCCAGATTCGATAATGGCATCCGTGACCTGGAGCATGGATAGAAGCAAAACTAAATACATCAGCCTAACTGTGAAAAGAATAAAGTCTAAAATCAGAGCGGAATGCTGAATTTGGCAGCAAATAAACACCAACTGGTCTTAGCACACAAACACTATCAGTCTAAAGCGCATCCTTCATGCACACGTGATGCAACTTCCATTAAATGAAAAATGCTAAAAAAATTAAAATAAAAATGTATGTATGAGTACATATTTCTGCAGCAGACACGCAGATATAATCCTGCTGTTAAATAGGCTGCTGCACACATTGCAGACACATGCAGTTTAACACTTTAATAAGCAATCTAAGCACCATAATCACTACACAGAATGTTGTAAGGACTCTTGTCTTTTGGGTATTGCTAAAGAATAGGTTAGCACCCTGTATATATTTGTATATAGATCTATCACATCCCCTTCGAGGTGCCTTTTTTCTAAAGAAAACAAATGCAGTTTTTCTAGCCTTTCTTCATAACTAATGTTTCCCATCTCTCCTTTTAATTTTGCACCTCATCTCTGCACTTTTTCTAGATCTGCAATATTATTCTTTAAAACTACGGCCAAATTTGCACCACTATTCAAGGTGTGGGTATTTTGATCATGGTAAGAAATAAATCTTTATACACGAGAGCACCTTACTAGCTTTGGCAATGGCAGATCGGCATTGCACAGTGTTGCATAGTTTGTGATCTATGCTTATACGCAAAAATAAGTCCTGCGCTCAAACTCCCACTACTCATGGGCAGCAGCAATATTCATAGTACACATGAGCCACAATACATATAATAAAACCAAAGAAACATGGCAAGTAAAGCTGAAATAGGAGTAATGGGAGTTTGAGCGCATTACTTATTTTTGTGTATTTGTATTTACCAGGGATGCCGCCAATCACATGTGTTCCCTATTAAGGGTTAACCCCTTAAGGACTGAGCCAAATGTACACGTGTAAACAAAATCAGGCATTTGCGCTACATGTCTGTCCAACCGTAATTCACCTCTTTCATATTAAATGCACCCACCCTTATTATATATCATTTTATTCAGGGGAAACAGGGCTTTCATTTAATATCAAATATTTAGGTATGAAACATAATTTAGTATGAAAAAATGGGAGAAAAAAAGAAATGTTATTTTTTTAGTTCTACATGACATTTTAACTGTAAATGTCATAATACGGTTTGCTTTTACTGCAATAAAATACACATATTTGTATTCAGCAAAGTCTCAATTGTAAAACAGTACCCCCTATGTACAGGTTTTATGGCGTTTTGGGAAGTTACAGGGTCAAATATAGCACGTTACATTTGAAATTGAAATTCGCCAGATTGGTTACATTGCCTTTGAGACTGTATAGTAGCCCGGGAATGAAATTTACACCCATAATGGCATACCATTTGCAATAGTAGACAACCCAAGGTATTGCAAATGGGGTATGTCCAGTCTTTTTTAGTAGCCATTTGGTCACAAAGTTAGCATTAGTATTTGTGTGTGAAAAATGCAAAAAAAGCCAATTTTGGCCAGTGTTTGTGACTAAGTGGCTACTATAAAAGACTGGACATACCCCGTTTGCAATACCTTGGGTTGTCTACTATTGCAAATGGTATGCCATCATAGGGGTAATTTTCATTCTTGGGCTACCATAGGGTCTCAAAGGCAACGTAACCAATCTGGTGAATTTTAATGTGAAAAAAATGAAACATAAGCCTTATATTTGATGCTGTAACTTTTGGAAACACCATAAAACCTGTACATGAGGGGTACTGTTGTACTCGGGAGACTTCGCTGAACACAAAATCTGTGTTTCAAAACAGTAAAAAGTATCGCAGCAATAATATCGTCCGTGTAAGTGCTGTTTGTGCGTGAAAAATGCAAAAAACTTCACTTTTACTGGCGATATCATCATTGTAATACATTTTACTGTTTTGAAACACTAATATTTGTGTTCAGCGAAGTCTCCCGAGTAAAACAGTACCCCCCCATGTACAGGTTTTATGGTGTCTTGGAAAGTTATAGGGTTAAATATAGTGCTAGCAAATTAAATTCCCTATACTTTCGGCATGGGTTGTCAGGCAGGTCCCGCTAATTGTAATTAATTAAAATATCTAATTATGTAAAAATATTACATAAATATATATGTAGAATTAATATATGTATATGCATATATATATATATATATAATTTTTTTAAAATATTTTTGTTTATATAGGTATATATATATGTGTATATAGATATATATATTATTTCGTTCTACGTGTATTTTTATATAAATATATATATATTAATATCACAATACAGTTAGAACGAAATAACACACATCTAAATATTTTTAAATTATTTTTGTAATTAAATTTTTTTACGGATTTACATTTTTTTATATTATATATAAATGTATAACAATAATTATATATATTTAATCAGTATCAGTCAACGTGTAATTTGATATTAATATATATATATATATATATATATATATATATATATATATATATATATATATATATATATATATATATATATATATATATACACACACATACACTTAGATCATATATATATATAAATTAAAAATAAAAGAAATAATATACTTAGCATATATATATACATATATATAAATTAAAAATAAAAGAAATAATATACTTAGCATATATATATACATATACATATATATATATAAATTAAAAATAAAAGAAATAATATACTTAGCATATATATGTATGTGTGTGTATGTATATATATATATATATATATATATATATATATACTTAGATCATATATATATATATAAATTAAAAATAAAAGAAATAATATACTTAGCATATATATATATATATATATAAATTAAAAATAAAAGAAATAATATACTTAGCATATATATATATATATATATATATATATATATAAATTAAAAATAAAAGAAATAATATACTTAGCATATATATGTATGTGTATATATATATATATATATATATACACTTAGATCATATATATATATAAATTAAAAATAAAAGAAATAATATACTTAGCATATATATATAAATTAAAAATAAAAGAAATAATATACTTAGCATGTATATATATATATATATATATTTTTATTTTTTTATTTTTTTTACACTGATTTTAATTTAATTTTATTTGATTTCCAGCCAGCAGGGGGACTAACTGTCATTACAGGCAGTCCCCCTGCTGGCAATGCAGCAGCCAGCTAACCCGGCCATGTGATTGTGAGGTCATCGCAAGGAGGAGGAAGAGGAGGAGGCAGGATCCGCCGCGGGGGGACTCCCTGGGATCCCAGGTGAGTCTCCCCAACCGCCGGTGTGGAATCGCCGGCGACCGGGTAAGTAAAAAAAAAAAAAAAAAGGAGGGCGTACTATTATGCCCTGCGGTGTTTAGAGCCGCTTAGAATAGGGCGTTATAGTACGCCCTCCGGTTTTAAGGGGTTAATAAGTAAGTAGTGGTTTAAAAAATAAAATAAAAAAAATTAATACCCCTCTGTCTCATTAGAGATTTTCTTTTGTCTTAAGCTGAAGCAAGCAAGGTGAGTTGTTAGTGTAAGACCAACATAAGAGTTTTGCCTTGATGTGACAGGTGGGGTTACATCTAATGGCCATTGGAGTAGAACTAAAAACCAAAATTTTTATAAATATGCACTGGGATTTGGAATACTGGGCAAGTAACTTTTTTCTTTGGCTTTATTGTATGTTATCTATACTTGTTCCCAAGTCCTTTACACTTAAAGCGACACTATAGTCACCAGAACAACTACCGCTTAATGTATTTGTTCTGGTGAGTATAGTCAGTCCCTGCATGCTTTGCAGTAAACACTGCCTCAGATGGCTACTAGAGGTGCTTCCTGGGGCAGTGATGGACATTCAGTGTCTCAACCCTCTGCATGGAGACAGTAAGATTTCCTCATAGAGATGCCTTGATTCAATAATTCTTTATGAAGAGATGCTGATCAGCCAGGACAGCGTTTGACTCAGCCCCCTGGTCCATCTCATTGGCAGAGATCATCAGAATTTACAAACTTAGCCAATCCAATGCTTTCCTATGGGAAAGCATTGTGACTGGCTGAGATAATCATTTCTGATTATGTCAGCCAAGGAAGAAGATCAGGGGCAGGGCCTGCACCAGCAGACTGGAATAAAGGTAAGATTTTACTATATTTTGGGGGGCAACGGAGGCTAGAGAGTGTTTTAAACACTAAAGGGTCAGGAATATGTTTGTGTTCCTCAACCTATAGTGTTGCTTTAATGTTATCCCTAACTCAACCCCATTTGATGTAGCTTGTGGGTTCTTTGTTCCAAAATACATGACTCTGCATTAACTGCCACTTTCCTGCCCAGTCCCCCAATTTATCCAAATCTCTCTTTAGAGAAGTGATATCATGTTCAGACTGTATTATCTTACTTAGTTTTGTGCCATCTGCAAACACCGACAAAGGATTTTCAATGCTATCTCAAGATCGATTATAAACAGACTAAAATGAGTTGGACCCAAGATAGAATTATGTCACTAGTGACAATGGGTGGGTGCCAGGATATTCACAACACCATAACCATTACAATACACTGTAGTTGTTATGGAGATTGGGACTGTTCCATTATGACCACTTTTCAGCAGATCAGGCTGGAAGCACAGAATGACATCAATGTTCATTTTAAAATGGAGTCTTTTGGCAGGCCACTATAATATAGATAAAATAGAGCTGCCAATTTGGCTAGGCTATGACACTGGTGACTGGGAGTTTTCAATGTAATGGAATATTACCAGAGGGAGAAAGAAACTTATTTTAAAACATAATGCTGAGAATCTTGAAAATAAACTTCCCCAGCTTAAGACTTTCTAGAATGAAAGAATACGTCTATATTTTCTTTATTTGCACCCCAAAATCTTAGAATTTCTATTTCACATTCCATTCTGTTAAATGAAAATCCTTCTGATTGGAATTTTACTAAATGTCTTCATGGAGAGAAAGTTTCCAAGATCTTCTAGCTATACAAGAACTGAAAACCAAAAGATGCTTGCTCTATCTGAATTTTCCTTAGTACTCTGGGAGTCAGAGATATGGAATGGAAGTTAACGCTTTCCCCGCGCTAAAGGACTGAGACTGCATTGAGGACTTCTGACCTCAATAGAGGCAGTTTAATGTTGTGCCTTGTGGTTATCAGGTCTATTTGTGGACTTGAAATCTTCTACTCCCATACTACCCCCATACTACTCCTAAATATTAATACTGATTAAGAAACAGTGATACTGCCAATCCCTGAAATTAATTTGCTTGATAAACTGAGCAGATTTATTTACTGTGTCGTCTTGACTGCAGTGGAAAGTTATGAGTTTGTGTCTTAATTATGTTCCAAAAACTGAAAACCCACCTACGGCATGGTGATGGACTTCATAAATGAAATGAATACAGGGCACAGGGGCCTACCACAAGGATATGTGATATTATCAGGTCCATAAAAATGCCAGTGGGGGTGTAGTGCAGTAAAACTTTGGATTCATCACTCTTGGCACTTTATATTTCCCATTGTTAAAGAGGGCAGTCTAAAATTGCCTTCAGGCTCTCTTATAAAACCACCTTAAAGGAACACCATAGGCCCTCAGACCACTTCAACGCAATGAAGTGGTCTGGGTGCCATGTCCCCCCCCAACCCTCTTTAACCCTGCAGTGTAAAGCATTGCCGTTCTGCAGAATACATCTCTAGAGGTGCTTCCACCAAAATAGCAGAATCAAATTTGTCTATTTCAATTAAGATGGTCTCAGAGAGACCACCTAATTGGAACAGTGCGGTGTTTAGCCAAACATGTGCACTAGCCTCCCAAAGCTTTCCTACGGGAAAGCATTACACTGGCTGAGATCATTGATCTACAGCATATTCATAACAGATATGAGAAGCTCAGATAGAATACATCATTGCAAGTATACAGAATTTTAAAATGAATATATGCATATAAATTACCTATTTTGTTCTGAAGCAGTACAGCTTCAAAACCATTTGATCGATGTGCTAATCTTTTAACTGCTTCAGGACCAGGATAAGGCAAACCCCAAGTTATTGAGACAGATCTGACCTGTGGTTTATCCTGAACGTATTACAAGGACACAAAACTCTCTAAATCCTTTTACAGTAACAGTATGGTATGATGCTTAGTAATGGGCCATGTGCCAGGAGTCTATAAAGCAGCTGTCACAGACTAAGTAATTACTGCGTACAAGGGAACATGATTATTGCACAGGCACAATTTCTTCAACTGCAAAAAAGCACTTATTCTTGAAACTGATGTGACCTTTAGTTATATTTTATATTAAATTCTGTAGCTGTAGATTTGAAATACAGCCCAGTTGTATATAATTAACTTGAGCGTTCTAATGGGACTGTATCCACAGGTCTGGCAGTCTAAGTAAGTTTGAGAAACACAGAAAGAAGTTTAGGACTAACCTCTTTAATTGTAGCCTGGGGTACAGTGTCTGGGCCAATCTCGGTGTTTACATAGAGAAGTGCGTAGAGGTAACCTGCTCTACCATAGAGTAACTCATCTGGGAGCTCCGAATCTGTGCTGATCACTCCTTTCTGCAACTGCAGTAGCCTGAGTGAGAAAATACAAAAAGATGTGAAAGGAGTGAAGCAAAGGATAGACAATCTCAAATACTACATGATAGATGAAGTCTAGGGATGCAGTCCCCTGAATGTCAGTCAAACTGTTTAGGAGTGGTTTGAAAATAAACAGTGTTGCGTCTGGCTCCTGTAGCTGTCTGCCTCTGACAGGCTCTCTCAGCAAATTTCCCTTACCTATAAATACATTAAAATTTTATTTCATTTTTTGCATTTATATAGCGCCAACTTATTCCGCAGCACTTTACAATATTAGAAAAAGGAGGGAAATTTAACAATAAATGCGACGATTATGAAGTGTTACAGGAACAATAGGTTGATGAGGACCATGCTCAAACGAACGTATAGTCTAGAGGTTTAACAGAGTCTTTTGGTAACACTGCATTAGCCACTAATGACCACTGCAGTGGTACCAAAATGTATAGGGAATTTTTCATCAAAAAATAAAATAAAACCATGCAATGTCCAAACAGTAAAGTCAATGAGAAATATCCAAAACTTGTCTCTACAATTTCTAAATTACAGAAGATTAGACTGACCTATCTTCTAATTGTACAAGTACAACTAATTGTAAAAGTAAGTAACACTGTACCCCCTATAAGAACATCATCTTATTGAAGTTGTTATAGTGCCTACAGTAGTTTCTCCCTTCTAAGTGGCCCCAAATGGCTTTCTTTTAATAGTTAGAAGGCTTGGAAGTACGGCTTCAAACCACACCTCCAAGTCCTCTGGATAGGAGAGCAGGGAGTGTTACTTCCCGAATCTTATACCTAGGCATAACGTGACGTAGTGCGCGAATGAGCAGTGCCATCACGATCAGTCATCGAGCATTATTGCATCACTGCATGCAATGATGCTCTATGACAGAAAAATTGGCAAATCGTGGAGAGCACTCCACATACACCTATGCTCCCAGTGCTCCTCTAAAAGGAGCCTTGGATTGGACCGTCATCCTCTCATCAAGTGAGGTGGAGCTTGTGGCAGCACCAACGGAAATTTGTTGCTGAAAAAAAGATAAGTAGAACTATTTTTAGTATTTTTGCTGTGCGTGAGTGGAGGGGGGGGCTTAGAAATAGGTAGTGACACTGATACAATAGCATTAGGAATACAGATATTTTAATCTAACTAAAGATAGTAAATGATTCTCTAGTTATTAAGTTGGAATCTGGAATTATTGATGTCACTATTACCCAACTCCATGCTCACTCATTTTATTGAAGAATGAAATCACGTAAACATATGACACAAATCTCTCCTCCATAATATAACAGAAAACCTGGAAAACTGCTTGCAAAGAAAAAAGCGAAAAGCGTATTTGAATTAGGATTTGGCTGGTTCGTGGTTTCTGCTGACTTTGATGTTTAAATTACAATTCCCTGCAAATGGTGCAAGTCTTGGCAAACAAGAATTTAAATGCAGTGTTTTGAAATGTCTCCTCCTCGTGGGACTCCATCATCCTTTAATTTTAGCATCTTCTATATCTCATTGCAGTGAGCTCATGAAGACTTGGCGAAATATCAAGCAATATATATTTCTACCCTGGGTTTGAATGTATCTGGCTTTGCGGTTACAAAATCTGCACATTATGCAGCAAACATGCTCTCCACCAAACTAACCACATTTCCATTTACACACCATTGGGAAAATGAACACATTAAGAATCCTAATCAACACAATAAACAAAGTACTAATGCAAAAAGACATAATTAAAGATTCTACATAATCATATATATCATTAAAGCCCTATATATCTCTAACTACTTCAACATTTGAACTCCATGTATAGAATGGGAGGTTAAAGGGACTGTCACATTTTATTTTTTTACTTTCCCCTTAAATGTTTTTGTTCCTCAGCATCCCCACAAACTTACTTTTTAAATTTTATTTTATAGCTTTGGAAAAGTAGGGACAGTTTTTTTTTTTCTAATGTGGAACTTGATTTTTGGAAAGCATAGGCAAAGGGAGAAACTAAATCAAGCTACCACTCCTTTACCATAATTCGTCAAACTATTTGACTAAAAGATTATCTTCATTTTCACCATGCAATTTTCTTGTGTTTTTTTTTTTTATTGCAGTAGTTTATACAATAAAATATGGACTGTGCATTTCCGGCATGTACACTAAGCAGACACCCCAAAGCAGGAGAGTCCAACAATGTAGAAAACAAAACAAAAAAGAAAGACCAGTTGCGTGTTATACACACACACACACATTAGTTTAGTAGACAGTGGCCACTGTTAAAACTACTTTTGCTAGGAAGTTAGTGGGTAACAGAAAAAATTTAATACTATGTAACACTTCAAAATAAATAATGAAGCAAAATGCAATTGCTATAAAAACAGGATAGGGTATTGTGCCCAGAAGAAGCATTTTATTAAACCTTGTAGGGTAAATGTATACTCTGGTATGGCAAAGAACTTGCAGTATAGCCATAATAAGGAAGTCCACTTTTGATAAGTGTCTATCTATGTACACAGGCAATTTTATGTTTTGCAATACACTACACTGCATTATGATGTGCCTACTTTCTGTGAATTTATTAAAAGCTTATTTTGTTTTTACGCAATAAAGATTATATTTTGTACTCTACGGGTGTGCAACAGAATTTATTTATTCTTTGTGTTTTCTAGCCAGTCCTTTGTGCTGCACCCTAGACTTTCATAATCTTATATGACCAGTCTGGATTGTATGGTCATGTGAGTTTTTTTTTTGTCAAGATTGATGATCTCAGCCAATTCAATGTCCTCCCATAGAAAAGCATTGGGAGGGTAGTGCACCAATCAGATGTTCTCTATGAGGCCATCTGATCGAAATGGGCAAGTTTCAATTAGCTATTTGAACAGAAGTGTCTCTTGTGGATGTGTGAGAAACAGTTGCTAGAGGCATTTAAACCTTGGAATTGTAAAGCACGGAGGGCTGTTCAAGAGTCCATTCCGGGGTCATTCCCAGGTCTTCTTTTAGTTTATGTAAATTACTAGTCGCGAGTCGCTTTCCAGCCACCAAACAGGTAGGATACGGTAGTGCTGATTTACTGATTTCACGCACTACATAGTCAGGCAAAATATTCTGTGGGCTGAGGAAATCACATGCCAGGACTTTAGAGATGAGGCTTGTCCCATCAGTATAGGAGCTGTTACTGAGCCTCTTCTTCCTTTGCTTGTAGCAGATGTGGAGCTGATGAACGTGGAGGAGGTATTAGAAGCAGTGGAGATGGTGTGTGCAGGGGAGTTTAAGAGAGATGTGGAGGGGGAATATGAATGGATGTGTGTAATTGTATGTGCAAGGAATCTGTGCAGGGGTGTGTGTAAGGAATCTATGCAGGGGTGTGTGTAAGGAATCTGTGGAGGGGTGTGTGTACGGAATCTGTGGAGGGGTGTGTGAGGGAGCTGTGGTGGGTTGTGTGCAAGGAATCCGTGCAGGGGTGTGTGTAAGGAATCTGTGCAGGTTTGTGTGTAAAGAATCTGTGCAGGGGTGTGTGCAAGTAATCTGTGCAGGGGTGTATGTAATGAATCTGTGCAGGGGCCTGTGTAAGGAATCCATGCAGGGGTGTGTGTAAGGAATTCGTGCAGGGCTGTGTGTAAGGAATCCGTGCAGGGCTGTGTGTAAGGAATCCGTGCAGGGCTGTGTGTAAGGAATCCATGCAGGGCTGTGTGTAAGGAATCCATGCAGGGCTGTGTGTAAGGAATCCATGCAGGGCTGTGTGTAAGGAATCCGTGCAGGGCTGTGTGTAAGGAATCCGTGCAGGGCTGTGTGTAAGGAATCCGTGCAGGGGTGTGTGTAAGGAATCCGTGCAGGGGTGTGTGTAAGGAATCCGTGCAAGTGTATGTGTGTAAGGAATCCGTGCAAGTGTATGTGTGTAAGGAATCCGTGCAAGTGTGTGTGTGTAAGGAATCCGTGCAGGGGTGTGTGTGTGTGTAAGGAATCCGTGCAGGGGTGTGTGTGTGTGTAAGGAATCTGTGCAGGGGTGTGTGTGTGTGTGTAAGGAATCTGTACAGGGGTGTGTGTGTGTGTGTGTGTGTGTGTGTGTGTAAGGAATCCGTGCAAAGGTGTGTGTGTGTGTAAGGAATCCGTGCAGGGGTGTGTGTGTGTAAGGAATCCGTGCAGGGGTGTGTGTAAGGAATCCGTGCAGGGGTGTGTGTAAGGAATCTGTGCAGGGGTGTGTGTAAGGAATCTGTGCAGGGGTGTGTGTAAGGAATCCATGCAGGGGTGTGTATAAGGAATCCATGCAAGGGAGTGTGTAAGGAATCTGTGCTGGGGTATGTGCAAAGAATCTGTGCAGGAGTGTGTGTAAGAATTCTGTGCATGGGCGTGTGTAAGGGAGCTGTGGAGATGTGTGTTGCCCTTAGTAATCAAGTTGTGTTTACAGATCAACCATGACAAATACTGTTTATGAAAATCAATATTACTAAGTTACTATGACATAAGCAAGAACGGCATTGGGTTTAATCTGGCATCAGTTTCTGAGGCATAATATCCATTGATGAAACAAGAAATTGTCCAAGATAAAAAAATAAAAAATAAATAAATGAACTATCCACTAAGAAAAGAGACTGGCAGTAATGATAAATTATTGCCTGTGCCACTTGTGAACCATTTATTGCCTGTGTAGTATGCCAAAAATGTACCAGAGGAAGTAACATTTATTAATATAGATTTATAAAGTGTTTGGATATAGGCCAGGAGTGATGCATATTCATTCTGGTTTTAGTAGAACAAATGAATGAGATGGACAGAATTATATAAACAACTAAACAGTTATTGATACTGCAGATATCATAAGACAGAGTGCAGCCTTTTGCTTTTAGAAAGTAAATACAACTAGGCTGCATAATGGTGGTCCTACTGACTCTTATAAATTGGTTATCCACATTATTAAAGACCCATCTTCATAAGTAACATTTGCCTGCAGATATTCTGACCTGATGAGCTTTGGCTTAATGAAACAATTTAGGTGTTTAGAATATGCCCCTGCAGTCTTACTGCACAATTCTCTGCCATTTAGGAGTCCCTCGGCACCAGGTCACGCTTCTCCTCCTCCGCCATCAGTCGCTGTGGGGAACCTAATGCGCAGAGAACGCTATGCACGCATTAGGCATTCCCCATAGGAAAATTTTGAGTCATTGCTTTCATATGGGGCTTTGCTTGACAATGGATGTTCTCAAGCTAAGTGTGAAGAAATCCAGCGTCATTTCATGGTAGACAGCCACTAGAGGCAGTCTTAATACTGCAATATAAACATTGCAGTTTCTCTAAAACTGTAATGTTTTACATTGCATGCTTAAGAGAGCAGGGAGATGTAGTGGTCTGGGTGCCTATAGCCATCCCTTTAATAGCCTTCTGGAGCCTCCTGCATGTGATTAAAGTTAAATTTACAGAGCACAAGATAAAAACTTCTAAAGCCAGTTTACATCTGTTTGAAAATGAAACGATTTTTTTTCAATACAGGCTGTGTCAGTCACAGCAGTTGGAGGTGTGGCTAGGTTTGCATAAAAATACATATAAGTGACTTAACTCCTAAACGGCTGAGAATTGGGCAGTGAGACTCCAGTGGCATGATCTATACAAAAACTGCTTCATTAAGCTAAAGTTGTTTTGATGCCCATAGTATCCATTTAATAACAGGTTTATTCAATAAAGTGAGAATTCAAAGTAAATTTCTAATTTTTGATCAAAGTAGCCAAAAAAGAAGCACAGCTTAGAGAATTTTCCAGTTTGGCCGTCTGGCTTTAAATTTGAAATTGATTTCTCCCTTTATTGAATAAACTTCCTGTATGCTTCATTGGGATGTTAAATTTGTTCTTACTTTGTGATGCAATCATTTGCTTCAGCCTGGTTTTGCAGTTTGTGATGTACGACTGCTCCCACAGCGAGGGGTCCAGCATCACCACAAAGAAAGCTGACTTTTCTGCCATTCAGGTTCCGTAGTATCCTTTTCACGTAGTCCAGTGACCGCTGAAGATGGGATTCCTCCTGAGTGACACGGTACAGCTGCAGGTAGAGAAGGACTATGCCTACAAGGAAGAGAGACTTGTTTGCTTAGCACGCTACAAATAAGAAGGGATGGACTAGTATGATTATATAATTTAGATTACAGAATATTCAGGTTTTTGTTATGTGCATGTATATGCAGCAATCTGATTGGACAATGACATTGATGAATGACAAGAGCCTGACAGTATTTTAATAGTTTATGATAAACCACAGACCATGCTCAAAGGTTTACAACCATAGCAACTGCAACACACATTTTAGAACCTGCCCTGGGAAGTTCCCTGGAAATGCTCCCATTCTCTCTCCATCATTTGAGGAAATGGGAGTAATGAAATACCAACAAAGTTATGAAGCCATGTGAAATGGAGGGTTGAGAAAGAGACTGTGACTATGGGGGCGTGAAATAGGACAGGGACGGGAGAGAATAAGGAAGAGAAATATAAGGGCAGCTGTGAGAGATGGTGGCCTGTAAGACACAGTCAGTTAAACATAATATTTAAGGAGAGAAATAAGGCGTTTATGGGGTCTTGACAAGCAGAAAGTAGACACGCAGTGGTCCTGACATAAGTATTTCATATTGAGTTACACATTATTAGCACATAGATGCTTCTACTACATAGATGTACATAGCAGTATTAACTTTACAGCATTATCAAACTTCAATCAATTATTATCATGATTGGTATTTACATAGCGCCGATTAATTCTGCAGCGCTTTACAATATTATGAAAGGGTGGAGAATTTACAATAAATTAAACAATTACACAGTGACACAGGAACAATAAGTATATGAGGGCCCTGCTCAAATGAGCTTACGGTCTAGAGGAGGTGGGGTACAAATACACAACAGGGCAGCAAGGGTGACAGCCACCAAACAAGATGGAAAAGTAGCAGAACTAGAGGAGAGAGTGTAGTGTGGCAGTTTAGGAGAGCAAGAGACAGATATGGATAGGTATAGTTCCTCTGGGAGTCCATAAGCATTTCTGAACAGATGTGTTTTGAGTGACTTTTTAAACAATTGAAGACTAGGGGAGAGTCTGCTGAGGTAGGAAGGGAGCCATTCGTGTGAATTCCTGCAAGCGCGAGTTAGGCCACCGGAAGAGCAGAGAGACAGAGAAGGGGCATATCTTTAAATCAGTGAAGAAATGTAAGAGTGGCTAGAGCTTTATAGGTAAGAGTTAGTATTTTGAATTGACACCTATAGGATACAGGAAGCCAGTGTAAGGATCGATAGAGGGGTGAGGTATGGGAGGAGCAATGAGTGAGAAAGATCAACCTGGCAGCAGCATTCATTGCTAATTGTAGAGGGGCAGTTCGGCTTCTGGGGAGAACTACAGTAATCCATGCGAGAGATTACCAGAGCTTGCGTGACAAAGGGGCGGATGCGGTGATATTTTCAAGGTGGAATCGACAGGTTTTAGCAACATTCTGGATATGAGGCACAAAGGTGAGGCCAGGATCAAAGACTGATGCAAGTACCATCAACTTGCAGGGAAAGCGAAGGAGGAGGATCAGCATTATGAGGGGGGGAAATAAAAGCTCAGTTTTAGAGAGATTGAGTTTTAGAAAGCAGGACTACATCCAATCAGAGATTGAAGAAAGGTAAGCAGTGACATGTTGTAGGACCATGGGGGAGAGATCAGGGGAGGAGAGATATATCTGGGTGTTGTCGGCATACAGATGGTAGCGGAATTCAAAGACAGTATAAAGAGAGAACAGAAGAACAGATCCTTGGGGGACTCCAACTGAGACAGGGCGAGAGGAGGAGGTGTCATTGCAAAAGGAGACACTGAACGACCGTTGGGAGAGACCGAAGGATTAAAGAGTTTGGAGAAGGAGGACATGATCAACAGTGTCAAAGGTGGCAGAGAGGTCAAGATGAATTAGTATGGAGTAGTGGCCTTTGGATTTAGCTGTGATTAGGTAATTTGTAACTTTAATAAGAGCAGTCTCAGTGGAGTGGAGGGGGCGAAAGCTAGATTGAAGAGGATCGAGGAGGGAGTTGGAATTTAGGAAGTGAGTCATACGAGTAAAGACAAGTCTTTTCTGGAAGCTTTGAGGAAAAAGGAAGCACTGATATGGGACGATAGTTGAAAGGGTAAGACGAGTCTAGGGATGGCTTTTTTAGAACAGGTACGACCGTAGCATGCTTAAAGGAAGCAGGGACAACACCAGATGAAAGAGAGCAGTTTAGGATGTATGTTAAGGATGGTACAAGACAAGGGGAGAGAGATCTGATAAGGTGGGAAGGTACTGGATCAAGCGGACAGGTGGGGGGACAAGAGGAGAGAAGAGGCACAGCCACCTCCTGTTCTGTAGCTGATGAGAAGGCCTGTAGGGAATGGATGGTACGGTCCAGGTGTGGTTGCTAGAGGGAGGAGCAAAGGGGGAGAATTCTTTCCTTAGCTGTTCAATCTTGTCGGTAAAGTTGGTAAAGGCTGAAAGGTTAGTTTGGGGGGTGGCTTGAGGTGGGTGAAGGAGAGGTGAAGGTATTAAAGAGACGCCTGGGATTGCGTGAGCATGAACTAATGAGAGAGGAAAAGCAGGATTGTTTAGCAAGTGTGAGGGCTGTGCTGTATGAATACAATATGAATTTATAATGGAGGAAGTCTGACAAGGTGCGGGACTTCCTCCAGCAGCGTTCAGATGAACAGGAGCATTTCTGCAGATAGCTGGTCGACTTCGTGTGCCAAGGTTGGAGGAGTGTCTTCTTTGAGGTGCATGTTTCAAGCGGGGCTGCAGCGTCCAGGGCACATGTGAAGATAGCATTATATGAGGAGATAGCAAGAGACGAACAGGAGAAGGTAGGGATGAATGAGAGTTTGGAATGGAGATCAGCTGAGAGTTGCTGGAGGTTATGAGAATTCAGGTCCCTTCTTAGTTGAGGAGGGTTAGGATGAGGCTGTTGGGTGAAGGATCTCTCAAGAACAAATGATAAGAGACTGTTCTGAGAGAGGAAATTGATATAAATGTGTTGCCATAGCAAATTTAAACAATTGAAGAGGAAAAAATATATAAAATAGAAAACTCTCATTAAACACATAAATAAAAGAGCACTGGCTTAATATATATTTTAAGTGAATCTGTCATAACCGATTAACATTAAGTTCTAACAACACATTATGCAGTCATGATAAATTATATATTTTATGGCTTAATTAATTCTCACCTTTTCTCCAACAATTCAGTCTGTGGGTGTTCTACTAATGTAACTCCCACGTGCCAGCCTTGCCTACATCTCAACGCCTAAGTGCGGTTGACCTTGCTGTGAGTCACTTCAAGCATGACAACCCAACTCCATAATGCGGATGTTCACCTCATTGCCAGTGCATCAGCGCCAAGAAGAGTTTAGGAAGGCTGGACAAGTTACATGCAAGGAGATGTGCCTAAGGCTGTATAAACAAAGTGATTTAACTCCTAAATGGTAGAGAATTGAGCAGTGAGACTGCAGGGCATGATCTCTACACCAACACTGCTTCATTAAGCTACAGTTTTGTTTTGGTGACTATATTGGCCCTTTAATGTACTTTTCTTTTTTGTGAATCTGTACCTAACGTGACAAATACATGTTAAGCAACCCCCCCTCGACTTTAATCAGACAAAGACATTTCAAAGTATGTCCCAAGGACTGCTATGATAGGAAAAATCGTGCCAGACATAAATGTGCTCTTTTTACATTTTTGAATAGGCCTGTGACAGATGTATCTACTACACTGGCAACTGCTGTGCATATTGGAGTGTTTATTTCAGACATAAATGGTGCAGGTTCTGTCACGCTTATGCCACAACAATGCTTTTTACATAAGGTTGTCATGCAAACTATCACCACCCCTGCAGGCCATACAGACCAACATATATATCATTCAATTGTAACAGAAATTCAACCACGTTTGGGAAATTTAAAGGGGTATTCTAAAACAAAAACAAATTTAGATTAATGAAGCAGCTATGAGATCGCTCACCTGCAGTGTCACTCCTCAATGCTCTACCATTTAGGAGTTACCTCACTTTTGTTTCTGTTTATCGTACCCTACCCATACTTCATCTGGCGGTGACTAGCACAGCGTCCAATAAAAAAATCAAAAGGATTGCTTTAACGCCATTTGGGCGGCATAGCACATCTAATGATCAGGACCTCCCTGCAGCCTGGATACTTACTTTCCCTGCCGGATCCGGATCGGGAGGACTACATGACAACCGAGGCAGTCCCCCTGTAGCTAATTTGAGCAATGGAATCAGGATATCACCATGATCACATTACTCAGATCTGCCAGATTGTAAGATTGCCTGCAGGGGGACTGCCTGAGATGTAAGGCAAAGCCCCCATTATATAAATAAAATACCATAGTTATGTAAAAAATAAAATAAAAAAAAATACAAAAATACATTTAGAATTATATTATTTACTATCTATATACTTTTTTCATTCTAAGTGTACTCTGATATCAAGATATAGAATTATATATTGATATCAAAATACACTTAGAATGAATATTTACACACAAATATATATATATATATATATACACACACACACACACACACACACACACACACGTTCATTCTAAGTGTATTTTAATTTAAAAAAATAATTTAAAATAATTAATAAAAAAAGAAAAAAAAAGAAAAAATAATATATATAACGATGAAGAGGGCACTCCAGAGGATTTTTCAATAGATTTTATGTAGATTCAAAGTGATCAACGTTTCGAAACAGAAGGTCTTTGTCAAACGTCTTGCATATCTATCCACGCTGTGCAGCACTGGGGTCCATTTAACCAACTTCTTAAAGGTAGAGTGCCTGTTTTATATATATATATTATATATATATATATATATATATATATATATATATATATATATATATATATATATATATATATATATATATATATATATATATATATATAAAGAGAGATAGAACTTGGCACTCACCCTTTACTGTAAATATCCAGATAAATATAGCCTGGATGCAAACCTTAGCGTTATGAATACAAAAATATATAAATAAGGTGCACTCACTGGTCTTCAGAAGTGCTTCTTTTATTTTACATGCAAATAACATGTGCAAAAAAATCTACAAATAAATCGACGTTTCGACCCCTTTCGTCGATTTATTTGTAGATTTTTTTGCACATGTAATTTGCATGTAAAATAAAAGAAGCGCTTCTGAAGACCTGTGAGTGCACCTTATTTATATATTTTTATATATATATATATATATGTATTAAGGCAGTTTTGCCTGTATTTGTGGGAGGGGCTTAAATTAATTCACTCCCCTATATAAGGGACACCCCTTACCTGACTCATATCGCTTGAGGTCAGCATCAGAATGATTTCCACTTCCGGGTCATCCAGACGCCATTTTACCTGATTACTCCATGAGGTTTTCTAAGCTGAGCTGTGTCAGGAATCCAGCCACAGGCTTTTCCGGCCTACCACCTTCTTTCCTTAATCTATTGCTGTGGATGGTGTCCAAGTGACTCACAAACCGTAAATTGACCTACCCATTACGCCAGGCATCAGTCCCACGGCACCATGCAAGGGTCAGGTCCTCACTTTACTGCTGCATTTTGTCTAAGTCTGTTCTAAAACCATTGCATGTTCAAGCATATCATTCGTTTAAACCCCCTACTGGTCTTTGGGTGTACTACAGACTTCTTAGACATTATCGCATTTCATGTACAAACCAACGAACCACTGCATCTTTGCCTACACACTGACCCCTACCGGTCATTCGGTGTACTACAGGCTTCTCAGACATTATTGCATTTCATGTACAAACCAACGAACCACCGCATTTTTCACCTACACACTGACCCCTATTGGTCATTCGGTGTACTACAGGCTTCTTAGGCATTGTTTGCATTTTCATGTACAAACCAATAAACCACTGCATTTACACCTACACACTGACCCCTACTGGTCTTTCGGTGGACTACAGGCTTCTTAGACATTATCGCATTTCATGTACAAATCAACGAACCACTGCATTTGCGCCTACACAATGACCCCTACCGGTCATTCTGTGTACTACAGGCTTCTCCGACATTATTGCATTTCAGGTACAAACCAACAAACCACTTAATTTTTCACCTACACACTGACCCCTATCAGTCATTCGGTGTACTACAGGCTTCTTAGACATTATTGCTTTTCGTGTACAAAACAATAAACCACTGCATTTTTACCTACACACTTACACCTACCGGTCATTCAGTGTACTACAGGCTTCTCAGACATTATTGCATTTCATGTACAAACCAACAACCACGGCATTTTCGCCTACATGCTGACCCCTACCGGTCAATCGTATACTACAGTCTTCTCAGACTTTATTTCACTTCATAAGCAAACAAACTAACTACAGCATTTTCGCTTTTATACTGACTCCTATCTGTCATACGGTAGGATTAACCCCTTAGGGACACATGACGTGTGTCATGTCAGGATTCCCTTTTATTCCAGAAGTTTGGTCCTTAAGGGGTTAAAGGGTATTTTTACCATACAATCAGCATTTATGACCCCTACTGGTCAACAGCAAAACTGTCTTCACATGTCATATACAATTTACCAGCCAATATAAATTACACATTAGATTGTTTTAACCCCTTAAGGACACAAGACATGTGTGACGTGTCATGATTTCCTTTTATTCCAGAAGTTTGGTCCTTACGGGGTTAAACATAACCATAAACCATAAATGAAACTCCAGCACGGGCTCAAATTCAGGTTTAGTTCACAATAATTTACATTTCACATCAAGACCAACAGTGGTTCTATCAACACTGCCACCTACAGGTCTGTCAAGTACATTGACAATTTTCATGGGGTTTTACAAACACCAAAATACTTACACCTATAGGTCAACAGACAAACAACATTTCACATACCAATCAGTATCCAACTACACTGCCACCTATAGGGCACTCGGCAGATCTCCAGTGCACTTGCATTTTGCAACACCATGTTCACTGACCCCTACCATTCAATAAGACATACAACAATTCACATAGCAAGCACTATATCAACATCAGGTATAAATACATATATTATTACACAGTAGCAGACGCGTCTGTATATACGTAACTGGTAATATAGTTCACATACATTTTTCACAGCACGCTGCTCACGCAACAGACTTTCCCCTAGCAAGGGGACATACAACATACAAGGTGAGGACAGACCACATTTTCACTTGTACATACGGCACTTAATGGGTTAAGATTGATACATATTTAACTAGTATGGCTACGATGTTTAATATTTACACATCATGGCACTTTACTTTTCACATATACTGTACGTATTAAGATAAGCTTGGTCTATGCCATATTTCCTTATGCCATACGGTTTTATCCATTCAGGTTACAGTTACTACTAAAAAACCTATATGGATTGTCAGGTTCAATACCATACTACCAGGTACACCAGGTGCTCACGTAGTTATCCATCTCTTACCTTCCCTGGAATAGTAATAGTGTACTGGCAATTAGGGTTCTAGGGCCCAATAGGTATTACCCCCTTTTTTCTCTGCATTATGCTTCGGTTAGTGGTCCCGCGAGGCCAACACCCCGCCTCACACTCGGAGGCATACACCCCTCGGGCCACTCGTGAGCTAGCCGCCTCGCATTGTATCATAGAGAGGGCCTCACCTGTCACTCCCCTTCCTATTTTCTGGTTACTGTCACCGAGAGGCCAACATCCTGCCACAATGTTCGGTGGCCACACAAAATCCCCTCGCGCCAAGCATAGATAGAACCTCTCAAGCCACTTGGCAACTAGCAGGGCCTCACCAGTCACCAAAAAACACCAAGCCTAATCGTTTCGCCTTACGGCTTAGCTAGCAAGCCAGTACAAGAACCCTGGGTACAAATAATTGCATCTTTATTGTTATTTAAGTATTTTTCCAAAAGATGGTGAAGAATCACCTCTTCCTAGCACCCCGGCTAGAATTGATACACGTTCAAGCAGAGGAGAAGTTGCTAGTCCTGCAGCAATCAGATCCTGGACGATCCCACACATTACCACCGACCTAAGGAGGTGACAAATCCCCTACCCTGCTACAGCAAAGAAAGCAGAGTTATTCAAACTCCTCCATACATCAATGGACAACACAGAGGCAGGGGAAGGCCCAGCTACATCAACTCAGGTGACACCCAGGCTATGCTAGCCTCACTCATAAACTCATGAGCCAAAAAATTTTATGACAGACTGGCAATCTCGAGTTGGTCACCACAGCCCTCACAAGGCTGGGCCTCACGTTACTGTACAACCAGCACCAACCGAAACTCGGTTACCTGGTACAATCAATTCTTATGACACACAAGATGTTAACCCTGCACGTATGATCCCAGCACATTGGGGAAGCAAGGCATATATATGTATGATGATGTATCTGTGATGGTCAGATTCAGGGATTCCAGGTAAATCGGGAACTGACCATCTCTTGGATGGGTTGGTATTTGGAATATGTAGAGATGTTTATTTGTGCAGGTACCCATACAGAAGGGGTTCTGTCCCAAACAAATGGACGAGCACTCTCAGGCTCCAGGTACCAGCACCTCTGAACTACCAGAGACGATTGATATGAGTAGTTGCATTGCATATAGACTGTTGTATATATGTTCAAATGGTTCAGGGCACATGACAAACCATGTGGCCCAATACAACTTACAAATAACGTACTCACCATCTGTACACACCAATGCATTTTCAACACTACTGACTCATCACCCTTCCAGACTTGTAGTAGATTTACTAAAGCTCTGGAGCTTCAAAGGGCTCCCATACAGGTATCATAAACACACCTTCAAGGAATATAGCATGCCCTCACTTACAGTCAGCACAACAAAACCATTGGCTGAAAACACACTCATAGCCAAGATGTGCAGAGTGGTCTTCCAATCTCCACCATTTACAGCATGGCACCAAACACACACATTGGTATTGTCACAAGGAATCTTCCCTTAAACAAAGACTAACCATAGACTTATTGGCACCACACACCTCCGCTACCCCAAGTCTCAACTCCCTTCTTACTATACAACACCATTGATCTACCTTTACAGCTATCACTCAAGCATGGGTTAAAGCTTGGTTAAGTAAGACCAATATCATCAACGCAGTAAACAGCTACCATCTACCCTACACACTGGCACTTACATGGCATAAATTGGGCAATCCTTTCCCTGCTCAACTTTCGAGCTACAGATTAACCTACTATCGATATTCACAGATACTCTGTGCTGGTTATGATAACATATCCAGAGGCATTACAGTCATACACTATCTAGAAGACTTCTTGTTGCTCAAAGAAAGCATATTTTTCCCTAGAAGCCTCATGGCAGCTTAGTCTGGTTGACCACTTGGGCGTCCCAGTACCCCATAAGAAACAGAAGGCGCAGACACTATCATCACATTACTGGGCATATGACTTGAGTCGGCATCCATACACGCAAGTTACCACAAGACAAATAGGGAACATTCTCAACTAAATCAATCACTACCTCCTGCTTAGTACTTACAACTACAAGGAACTACAATCCCTACCAGGTTCCTTAATTTTGCCATGCCAATCATACCACAAGACCACGCTTTCACATCCAGAGTACTTTCCCTTTTTTTCCACACTTCCAACATGACGATCAGAGGAGGTGCCTAGACACCTCAGCAACAGCAGACCTGCACATGGGGGGGATTTCTTAACCACTTGGCATGGTAAAAGCATGTTCCTTCCAGGATTGTCTGACACTTCTCCAACCAGATGGTCAGACGCAGCGTATACCACGGGTTTGGCAGCGATCTACCGGGAACAATTGCTTTGGGGCTGTTTTCCACCACTTCAGCCCCTTTGGGAGATCTACCCCATTGTAGCAGCTGCTGTGGCATGGGGTAAATCATGGTCAGGGTCATCAATCCGTTGTTACTCAGACAACTAAGCACATATCATATCATCAACAAACGCCACTACTCATCCATAAGTTCATGATGTTTCTGGGGAACTCACTTGGTTGGCCACTTATCACATTTCACTTTCATGTACCAGACGGGGGTATACATCCCTGCCGACAACTGTCTCATTTATATTCCAGGCATGTTCATCATACGCTTCCTACAGCCGCCCATACAGTCACGTCCACTCTTTCGTTCCAGAGACAAAATCATGGATTAGACATACTCATGCAGCATAGCATGCACTATCCCACCTAGCACTTTCGTCCCATACTTGTAGAACGCATAACACAGCTTTTCACCTGGCTTAAAGAATCTCATTGGAACACGACATAGCTCAACCTGTGTCACAAAATTTCTCTTAAGTTTTGCTTATTTTTGCCACCTTAAACTTAAACTATCTCATACACCATTAATTATATATTTTACAGGCATTCAACAACACATGATAACCTATGGCCAAAACTACCATAAACTTCATGCTATCATACCAGAAAAGAATATACTCAGAGGTTTTCAGGAATCCATTCCCCCACGTTCCTCTCAGAGATTACCAATAGCCATCCAACTGTTCATCCTTATCGGACCTATTAGATCTACAACCATTCAATTATACTACCAAGTCAGCCATTACCAGCCATGCACATTGCCTTTTATGCCTTTCTCAGGCCAGAGAATACACTACCATCACCACCACTCAGACAGATCATTGTCTTCAACGATCCCACGTACGTAAACACATATATCATTACCTATTGGCTCTACCACATTCCGAAATGAGTCAACATGCACCAACAGTAGAGATAACATACTATCCTACCCACAACAAATGGTGCCCACTTTCGGTCCTAGATTCCTACCTTCAAAATCCTTTCAGGAATTAAATACTGTAATGCATTTAAGGAAATGTCTGGTTAATTTGTATATATTTGTTGACTGTATTAAATCTTTGATTATCCATTTTTGCCCTCTTTATTTACAGGCCTACCGTATCGTCGGTATCGGCACACCACAACCGACTTGCTCCCTTTACACTATCCCAAGCTTATGCTGGATCCTTACTCCATATACGGCTATTTTGCCCCTTACACAAGTATTAAGGCAGTTTTGCCTGTATTTGTGGGAGGGGCTTAAATTAATTCACTCCCCTATATAAGGGACACCCCTTACCTGACTCATATCGCTTGAGGTCAGCATCAGAATGACCCTCCCACCCACTCCTCATTTCAACACTTTCTCTTTTCTTTCCATTTACTTTACTTTCTTACTCCTTGGTGGGCCCTCTTTATTTACAGGCCTACCGTATCGTCGGTATCGGCACACCACAACCGACTTGCTCCCTTTACACTATCCTAAGCTTATGCTGGATCCTTACTCCATATACGGCTATTTTGCCCCTTACACAAATATATATATATATATATATATATATATATATATATAAATATATATATATATACATACATACACATACACACACACACATATACATATGTATATTTTATTATCAAAATACACTTAGAATTAGTTTATATTATACATATAATTCAAAGTGTGAGAGCACTTCCTTGTTTGTGAAGTATAGATTTAGATACACACACATAAACAAGGAAGTGCACTTACGGGATTTGCTGTAGAAACATGTAGTGAATATAAGGGGTAATCGGGGCTTTAGTGGATGCAGGGTACATTAGGGGCTGTAGTGGCTGCAGGGTAAATTAGGGGCTGTATAGAAATATAATATATAACCAAAGAATATATACAATAACACCCAAAACCACGTGAAAATTTAAGTGGTGAAATTACTCTTATATAGTTTTCTAGATTTTAAGAAGATTCCTCTTAGCTTCTTTATATGTACATACAAAATACAATCTATAATAAAGGAGGGAGCTGTAGTAGCGTGGATAAAAATTTGAAGAACCGTGGGTAACTTAAGGTTACTAACAGGTAATAGCTTGTAGCAGGCACATAAAGGTTTCTTTATAGGACGTTGCCCTTCTGTTATATTCTCTCAATCCATAGACCATTTAGAAAATAGAGGAAGAAAGGCAAACATAGTGAAACATAGTGAAGAAAGGCAAACATAGTGTATTTCTTTAAAGATTAAAATACTTTTATTCTCAAATTGCACTTACAAGATGGATTCTTTAAGTTTGCATATCGTAAATTGTATGTCCAGACTCAGGGTACGATGTAACACAATCCTCTGCAGTCGGCAGCAAGATAGCAGCTTTCAATCCATATACATAAAATAGTAACAGTAAAAAAACTAAATGTATATTTAAAATAAAATAATAGTCATTATGTCCTTCTCACAGCCCTAAGCATTTCGTCCTTCAAGCAGACTTCCTCAGGGGCATTTGATAGTGATTATCGCTGGTCTATATCTGGATTCCTTTTAAAAGTCCTAAACGCGCCTTTTGGCGGGTTTTCTCCAATTGGAGCGAGTGATTACTTCCGGGTCTGTTGATTGATGTTTTGCGTCCCAAGCCTCGATTGGCGTGGGAGGCAAAACGTCAATCAATCGAGGCTTGGGACGCAGTCTTACTCTAGAAGACTGAGAAAAAGACCTGGCAGGGAGTCAATCTACATGAGGAAAACACATCTGGCTTAAAGTCATAGACGTTCGGTGGGTGACACAATGTGGGGAAGTGAAATTGCAGGAAGTGCCTCTGGGGTCTGTCTAATGACATCGGAGGAGACAGAGCACCAAGGGAAATCGGCACTGGAATCAAGTCCAGTAATGATTTTATAAATCTTACAGTGCCGGGGGGGAGGGCGCTATAGTATTCTTTTAACTCTGCAATGTACACATTTCAGTTTCTCTAAAACTGCAAAGTTATCAGCTGCAGGGTTTAGAGGACAAGGTTTACAGGCCAAGTTAATGAGATGAAGTGGTCTGGCAAACTGCCAAACTCGCCAGTGCCCCAGAAGTATACACACACATCTCAGGGACCCTCCCAGCAGTACCTTCCTAAGGTGTGAATAAAGTTATATGATTTCAATGGAATGCTGTTTGTTTTTCTTTTGCTTTAACTATCTGAAATACACAAATTCACACAACACATACATGACTTTTTACCACTCAACATTCCCACAAATTCCAGAACAGGCCCAATATACATATATCACATCAAATACAATGCATGCACAATGGATCATTGCATATTGATGTGGTCTTATAGATACCTGTATTGCACAGGGAATGGATTTATAAATAACTTAATATTCACTTTATATATGCATATAATTGTGTTTTAGAACTTCCTGCATGTCCACACTAGATAGGTTTTGGAGATGTGCATAAGTAGCTTTATACAATTCTCTAATGTTCAACTGAGATACCCTTAAAACTGTTGGCTTGATTGTTTTGTCTTAATGTGACATCACATTTACATGCACAGAATTTTATGTGTAGGGCAGGCATCTGTGCCAACATATCAAGCCGGGGTACCCACATAAAAATGGTGCATTTTCACAAATTAAACTGTTCATCTTTTTTTTGCTCTACTACCCAAATAAATGGATGAATTAAAATTACTCACCTGTATATCCAGTATATGTTGAGCAGTCATGTGGATCTGCAGTCTTAAGCCCTTCTTCCATTTGTTGAAGCAAGTCACTAATTTTTGCTTGGAGCCGCCTTGAAAATCTGCTGGTGATCTATTGGGGAAAATAAATATCCAAATATATAAAAATTGCATTACATGAGTGAAGAACGTGGCATACATTTCATAAATATTTGGCAACTCCTGTTATATGTGAAACTACACTTAAATTTACCGTATTCAGAGCATCTTTCTTGCAAGGCTCGAATAGGTTTTAAAGCTGTCTCTGCATTCTTTGCTGGCAGAGAAAGGTTCTAGTCTCTCTTGCACTCCTGTGCTATATACAGACAACTAAATAACAGGAGGATGTGATATCATTCAACTCTTAACGGGGAGTTCTAGTGCTGAAACCTTAATTTTCACTTTCTTTAGGGTTAAAGGAAAATTTTAGCTATGCGATGCATTAAACAATGAACAATCCACGGCTTGTCTCTCACTTTAACAGAAATGTTGAGAAAGCATAAAGAAGAGTATTCATTTACAATCTCCAATAACTAATAGATCTATGGGAAATATATCTGTGGCACAAAAAAAATGTTTTAAAAAAATTATTTAAAAAATTTAAATATGGGGGGGCTCCTCTGTCCCTCGCTTTTAACTTGCAGTGTCCAGTAACATATTAGCTACATCAGAAAGGAGAACAAAGCTTTCAGGAAGCTGTAGTACAACTTGCAGTTTTAATAATAAGAATGATGATAAGTGAATTGAATGGGTGCGGGATAAAAATAAAATTAAATAAAGCACTAGCCATATCTACCTGTTGTCCGTCATGACACAAAATAATTTCAATTACAAATAATGGGACCCATGCCAAAAGCCCTGGACACTGACAACTGTACTGTGAATTTTCACAAATTTAATCTGAAAGGAAACCCAGAGGCAAAGATAGCTGATCTGGAAAAACATCTCTAGCTCTGCTATATTCACAATATTCACAGTTTTGCAATTTGGATTTATTTTGCAAATCATTTTGTGAAATAATCATATTAGTAACTTAATGAAGGTTTTTCCTTCTCCCCCTTTATTTAACAATTCTTGAGTATATTGGTTGTACATAGTGTAAATAGCCCCCTGTTAGTGTCTGTATCTTTTAAGCTCTTTGTTTTGCAGTGTCTTTATTAAGTAGTTCGATTCCACTTTGATCGGCTCTCCATTGATGATGTATTATTCTAGTAAAGCCGTGATTAGTTTTTTGTACACAGTGTTTTATTATCTAGGGACCGTGTGAAATAAGGCACCAATTCCAGGTTAAATTCCTAATAAATAAGTTCCGTGGCACAATTTATTGATACTCCCCCTTGCCCTAAGCATCATTTGGGTTTGCTTGCCTTGTTGGATTAGACTGTATTTTAGAATTTTAATGGTGTGTGAGACACTATTAGCCTTATCGATTACAGTTTACAACGGTGAGTTCGCCCACTTAAAAATTTCCCTTTGCCACCCTTTGGGGTGGGTTTGGGGGGCAGATGGCCATTGAACAGGAGGGGCGTTAATGGTTTCCAGTGCACTTAGTCAACCTTTAGGTTTATTTAGCAATACATCTTTATACATCTGGAAGTAAATTACCCACTCTCTCGGTCCGGGAGTGATGTATTCGGAACGTTGCGTTTACAAGGTATAAATCCGGACTGGGTTTTACTGTCTAGGTGCCCTATTTGCATAGGGTATGTCCTTTGCAATATAGTAATTCTTTAAATCCATGGAGCCACCTCTTTCCCTCTTTATTGGCTACACGGATCTTAGGATATGCCCCCTACCAATTTGATTGGCCTAGAGCGATCAGGGGAGTGACCAGCTCTCCCGGCCAGCCCCTCTATGGTGACTGCTTATTTTGAGTGCTCTGGCCGAGCCCAGTTGCCCTCCTGGCCTTTTCTCCTCCCTTATGGGGTAGTTGAAAGCTCTCTGGGCATTATGACCATGCACTCCGGGTGCCCCTTCGTATATACTATTATTTAGGAGCACAACGGTAATTCATACTTTGGGTATGATCAGGCCATTTTTCCACGCCCATTCATCGTCTACTGGTTGAACCGATAGGGGGGGGGAGTATCCTGTTTCGTCCCTCGACAAACCCACATTGATTGACCAATGAGGACAGGCCACGTTTGAGCTTGGGGGTGTGTTCAATTGCCCCTTTATTAGGTGCCTCAGCTGTAGTGTGATGGTTAACTCTTGACAAAAGCGTGCTATAACGCCGAAACGCGCGTCGAGCTTGGATATGCCGATGCATGTTATTCTGTTTTAGAGAATAATTTTTGTTTTTATTTCACTTACCTGGGTTCCCATGATGTCTGTGACCTCAGTTCGTAGTCTAGTGTAAATTGTGGTCGATAGGCACAGTGCTAGGCTGCCTTGAAGCAGCAGTTAGTTATTCTGTCTTACTTCAGGATTTGTCAGCCAGCTTAGGGCTTAATAGGGTGTCTGCTTATCGGCCTTAGGACCTAGGGAGCTACGCTTTCCTGTCAAATCTGGATTATGGTGACTGGGGGGGCTCCTACCTTGAGGACATGTGACTACATCCCCTGCCCACTGTTTTCACCCCCTTAGAGGTATACCTGGGCTAGGTGGGCTTTTGAGGTACTCTCTACCCTGTTCAAGGACCTCCTAGGGGAGCATTTTTTGTTTTTGTGGGTTTTACCCCCCCTCTCCTTTTTCTCCCTGGTGATGGCAGTAAACACACCTAGCCACTTGCTGTCGTTTGGCACACCTATCCTGCTATATGACTAGAAAGTTTTCCTAGGCATTTGAATAAGATTCTGGACTTAAGCCCATAGGTGTCCCCACCCTACATTTAAGGGTGTCCAGGTAAGGCTTTGTACTATATTCCTAGATGATACTAGTACTGTCCCTACCGCTAGACATTTATTGATGTGAGTCATATTCCACTCATAGACAATCTGTATAAGTTGACAGCTCTAGATGGACCTGACTTTTATCTTTTTTCTATAAGATATTGTATAGTAGTCTTAGGGCTTAGTTTGGCTGCACTCTGATCCTTTATGAGAGGATCCTATACCGATATCTGCTGGCGATATTTATTCGACCTGTATTCAGGTCCATTTAGGGACCCAGAGTTTTGTTCACTGTTTTCACTTCTTTTTCTAATTATTCATTTATATTTTTTTCACATATACAATTAGGCTATATACAGGTGTTTGTATGTAGTTTAGTCGTTCTCTTTTTTGATCAATAAAGCTCCCCTTTTTTTTTTTTTACTTTTTATTGGGACATATATTAGGAGGTTACTGTGAATGGGAGTGGATTCCACCCATTAGTTATGAGTGAATCCACCCTCATTCTCCTGCTTTGTTTTTAATAATATTAGTAATTTACCTCTTTCATCTTCAGGGGTATACGAAGATGGTGGAAATCTTCTAGGCACCACAGAACCTCAAAAGGACAAAAAAGTGCAGATAATGTGATATTGTATAAAAATATAACAATTTAGAAACAGTGGGCTTATCTCCACTAGTGAGTGGATCGAATGGAGAATCCTCCAATCCTGGGAGATATACTGGTAGGTGAACAATGTAGATAAAAATACAAATAAAAATGAACATATAAAACAAAATATAAAAAAATCCAAAGAAGCATGTATCCAACGCGTTTTGTCATAGGTCTGGGGCTTGCAAGTGTTGTTCATTAATCATTTGCGTTCCACTGTGGAACGCAATATCCGGATCCAGTGTTCTCTCAAATTTCCCTACCCGTGAAAATCCCCTACCCTCGTCACTTCCGGTGAGGGGAATCAGCTAAATCCTGTGCTGCACATGCGTGCTAGCACTCCTGCTACTCCTCCACAGCAAGGTCCTGGAAGGCAAGTAAAGCTAGTTTTACACTTTCATTATAGTTAGTGCATTCACTAAGCTTAGGACATGGGACATTTAGGGTTAATGTTAGGGTTCAAATTAGGGTTAGGATTAGGGACTTGTTTATATTTAGTGACATTTCACATTAGGGGAATATCTAACCCTAAATGTCCCATGTGCCTAAGCTTAGTGAATGCACTAACTATAATGAAAGTGTAAAACTAGTTTTACTTACCTTCAAAGACCTTGCTGTGGAGGAGTAGCAGGAGTGCTAGCACGCATGTGCAGCACAGGATCCAGCGGATATCCCTCACCGGAAGTGACGAGGGTAGGGGATTTTCACGAGGAAGGGGAATTTGATAGAACACCGGCATATGTATGTTTCCTGTGTTCCTCCATGGAACACAAGCCGGGACATCCTGTTCCGGTATTGGTGGGGAAGAATGATTTAATGCGTTCCTCCGTGGAATGCAAGCCATGACTTCCTGTTCTAACACAGGAGCAGGGCGAGATTACAGTATTCCTACAGAGATAGTGTGGCACTGAATCTCGAGGTACGAACACAACAATATGGAACTAATTCGCATACAGTATATGTAGAAAAGATGCTGAAGGTCCTATGGGCAGAAAGCATGTAAGCTATAACGATCAGAAAATAATCTATTATGTGTAAAAATAAATCAAGATTCTGCCCATGTTCCCCTAAGCATCCCATTCACTAAAATATATACATGGAACACAGTATGACCACAATTGAAAAATAAACCATTATTGACAATAATCAATAAACAATACTTTTGTCATCCCAATATTACAAAGATAAAAGAAGCAGTGAAATAGGTGAGTGGAATTAAATGAGCCCTACAAGATCAATGTCTTGATTCAAACCGTTTTTTTGGGTTCTTAAATTATATATCCATTGGGCTTCTTTTCTAACAAATTCTTTAATTTTTTTCCCTCCCCTCCAATGAGTGCCAATGTTATCTATGGCAATGGCAATAAATGTGGACCAATCAAAAAGTGTACACATGCTACAATGTCTTAGGTACACTGTGATCCAATCTTTGTTCTTTATATTATTAAAATGTTCTCGGAATCTGATGTGGAGTTAACGGATGGTCCTGCCCACGTACCACAACCACATTCCAACAAATAGATGGCATATGTGGATGAGCAATGTAGAAACTTTTTAATTGAGTATGTTTTGTTAGTATATGTACCTGTAAAACTTGTGGTCTTTTTTTTTTGGTGAGTACAAGTTGAACAAGTTCCACATTTGTGGAATCCAGGGGATTTAGCAGATTGTAAAAAAAAATTTTTATTGGAAGTGATAGAACAAACTCTGACATTTTATATGTGGTTCTAATTTATATTTTATTATACATACTCTTGGGAAAGATTACCAATATGGCTCAAAGAACGGATATGTGTATCCGAACCGGAAACATCACCATCTTTGAGGTGGCATGATACGTATCCGGTTCGGACCATATTTGGAAATGGGTGTGTTTTTTACAACATGTGTGATTAATTGTTTGTAATATTTGTGTATATAAAGAATGTTTATACTGATAGGACTTTCATCAGCACCTGAGGAAGACCCATTTGTGGGGTTGAAACGCGTTAAGCACTTATTCCAATGTTATGTTTTTTATCTATATAACTAATAAAGCTTTTTTATCTATGTACCACTTTTTGAAATTCCTGTTTCCAGCCATTTTGTACTTCTTAGGACCCTAACCACAAGAGGAATCCATCCTATGTCTACAAGTAGACATATATGATCCATAAGTCCAGAGCCAACTTCAATGGGCTCAGAAAATTGTGAGGGTTCTGAATTCTAAATCCTACTCACGATTTATATTTGCAGATTACACTATGTTATGTTTTATCTCTGTTTCTGTATAAGGATTAATATATGTAACTCTAAGTTAAGAAGAATTTGTATATGAGGTAACTAATCCTTTTTATATGTATGCGCTTATCACCTTGTTTGGTTTTACACTGTTTAAAAATGCATTATGGATGTAAAAAAAAATGCAATGCATAAATAAATACAATTTGACCATGACATAACAAAATGGTGGCACACTGAGGCTCAATATACACCATATGAGATACCTTGGAATGTCTACTTTCACAAATGGTAGGTCTTTGTGGATCTTTCCCTGGGGTCCAGAGGAGCTGCAGGAAGATTACTGCTACCTTGCGCGCTGCCACAGCCGACCACCTCGATGCTCCCCAGGGAAGCAGCTACAATGCTCCCTGAGCTGGCCGCCTGCATGCTAACCAGATCGGCCGGACAGCTACAATGCTCCCTGAGATGGTCGCCTCCATGCTCCCCAGGGTGGCCGCCGGCTGCAGTGCTCCCTGAGCCGGCCGCCAGTCCCCATCCATGCTTCCCCAGTCGGCCGCCTTGGGAAGCTTGGATGTGGGCGGCAGGTCGGCTCAGGGAGCATTGTAGCCGCCCCCATCCATGCTTAGTAGGGCGACCTCAAGCCAGCCGTTTTAGCAAAAGGTCTGACAAATCCCAAAAGTCATAGACGCCATGGCAAACTGGCGCTTGGTATTTGTCGAGCCTTGCTTTAATATTATATATATATATATATATATATATATATATACACACACACACACACACACATACATACATACATACATACATATACACAGTAAAGAAAAAAGAAAGTAAAAGACATAATAACAATCATCTGCTCCTTAGTAGGGCTTAAAATTAGGTAAATACAACCTCAGGTGAACAACAACACAAGACGTATTACACCATGTTGTGATTTATTTACCAAAAATAAAGCCAAAATGGGGAAGCCATGGGAGAAAAACTAAGTTCTTCCATAGGAATTAAGAGGCTAAGTATCAGACAAGTGCTACTAATCAAATGTCCTTGATTAATTGGTCATCACCAAGTGTGACCACCTCTATAAAAGCCAAAGTTTTAGCTGTTTGCTGGTCTGGAACAACCAGGTGCTAACACACTTACAAGGAGGAAATACAGCAGCAATGATCTTAGAGAAGCAATTGTTGCTCCTTATCATAATGGGAATGGCTATAAGGCCATTTCCAAAGAAATTAAAGTCCATTACTGTACAGTGAGAAAGATTATTCAAAAGGTGGAAAATATTAAAGACAGTTGGCAATCTTCCGAGGAGTGGATGTCCCAATAAATTCACCCCAAGGTCAGACTGAGCAATGGCCAGAGAAATTGCAAAAAATCCAAGAGTAACATCTACAGGCCTAAGTTAGCATGTTAAATCAGCGGTTCCCAAACTGTGTGACGTTCACACAGGGGTGCCGCGGAATGTTTCCCCAATGCTATGATATAGCACCAGGGAAACATTACAATTGAACAGGGAGCCGGTCGGATGCCGCAGTCCTTTAAGACCGCGACCGGGTCCCTGTAATGTTGGCCAGCTGGGAGGAAGTGACAGCCTGTCACTTCCTCCTAGCATCATGCAGAGAGACAGAGCGGGAGAAGGCAGCCGCAGCGTGAGGGGAGACATGCATGTAGAGCTCCAGACCCTTCACAGTAGCAGGACTCCGAGCCACCATCCTGGCACATAAGGTACTCATTGTATCCTGAAGATATGATTTGCTCTTTTTGACCAAAGGCTGGAGATGACCAAATCATATCTTCAGGATATAATGAGTCTATTAAACATTGTAAAGGATTTTAAATGGGAAAAAGACTATTTATTGGTTACATGTGATGTAACTAGCCTATACACAATCATAAAACATAATAAAGGATGTGAGGCTATTAAATTTTCTTTAGAGCAATCAAATTTGTAAAGGGATATCCAGAGTGATTTTATTCTACAAGGTATTAATATGATTCTCGAAAACAATTATTTCTGGTAGTTTTTTTTAAACAGTTCGATGTAAATAGTTACATTGAGGTTAAAAGTTGCCATCATCAACCCTGGCTATCTAACATCCCTAAGGCACAGTTTTTAAGAATGTGTAGGAATTGTTCAAATCTCCCTGATTTTTTTATTACAATCATGCACTTTAAAAGAACAGTTTGTAGAGAAGGGATATGATGAAAATATTCTAGAAAGACAGATTGAGGAAATTGCCCTTATAAATAGATCACCACTTTTGAAATATGGGAGAAAAAAAAAAAAATGAAGAAAACCCTAAAGACCATATTCCATTCATTTTTAACTACTCAAGTAATGTGGGAAAAGTTAAACACATCATAAAAAAGAATTGGCACATTCTCAAACAGGAGCATGAAATAAAAGAATTCATTGGGGACAAGCCAAAATTGATTTTATGGGGAGCTAGGAATTTTAAGCAAAAGCTAACAAAAAGTTTCTTAGATAAGGAAGGATATGGACACAAAAACAAAAAGGGGTTTTCCCATTGTGGTTCATGCAATGCATTCATTAATTCAAATATAGCTAATAAAAATGTAATAGAATTTTGTTCATCTGTAACTGATAAAAAAATATAAGATCAAATAATTTATCACCCGTCATACTAAAAACGTCATATATTTGTTAAAATGTACATGTGGATACCAGTATGTTGGGAAGACATTTAGACCTGTTAAAATCAGAATTAGCGAGCACAACAGAAACATTAAGAAAGGTTTTATAAATCATAGTGTATCGAAACACTTTTTAGAAAAACATAATTCAGAACATTGGAATTTTATGCGATAGAGAAAGTAAGCAACCATTGGAGAGGAGGAGATTTGGGGAAAAAACTGCGTTTACAAGAGTCAAAATGGATTTTTGAAATGAGAACGCTAAATCCGTTAGGGTTAAATATAGATCTTGAGATCAATTGTATCCTATAGTTCTCCAATATTGAACCATATCTCCCTCTCTGTTTATGTCTCTATGCTTTTATGGATTTTTAATCACGATTCTTTTATCACCTTTTTTTAATCTATTAATTTATCACTGGAAATAAGGGTTTTATAATGCTGATGATATACTTAGACGTATTTTAAATGCCTTATATGGTATATATATTTACCTATGTTTTTTTATGTTATTCACATCCCCCCACATATGTATTTTATGGACATTATGGACATGAATGCCCATCACCATTATGGACTACGGAGGTTCGATGCCACTCCCCTAGGACTTCAAAGGGATACTGAACTCAGTGATGCGCGCGCAACCGGAAGTGACGTTTAATGCCGAAAACCGGAAGTACGTCACCGGAAGTGACGCGACGCGAGGACGGCCAAAGAAAAGGGAAAAGAGGAAGGAAGAAAGGAAAAAGAAAAAGGGAAGAGGAGAAGAAGAGGAAAGAAGAAAGAGAAGGGAAAGAGAGGAGAAAAAAAAAGATCGGACATGTTTGGGAGGGCATTGGGCTATGTCTGGAACAGGATGGGGCGCCATATTGGGGACGGCAAACCACATCCTGTCCAGACAATATTTGGAAATGGGAGGGAATTTGTTTTTTCAATTAACACAAGTGATATTATTTTGTAATTAAGTATGTTACATATTAAATGATGAATATTCAGTGTATGAGATACCTGCACCTGAGGAAGACCTTATATAGGTTGAAACGCATTGTGCTTTTATTATTTTTTTATACTTTTACTAAAGTTAAATAAATAAATATTGTGGTGGAACAGACCTCGCCACGTGTTCTTGGAGGGGGCTGCTTGCCCGCCTCCTACCTTCTGACTATGGCCCCAGGATATATGGCATTTGAAAACACTATTTGTGTCCTGTGACAAAACTGGAGATTGTGCACAAATATGACTATTGTCCATATTTTTTATGATTCCCTTCGTTTGTTGCACTGTTCCCCATGTGTTTCATCTGTTGGTTCGGCTGGATAGACTACCAGACAAACTGTGGAGTTACTGGGTGGCCACCATTTCATGTATCAGAGGCACATGGTGAGAACAATGGATGAAACACATGGCGAGAACAATGGATGGCGGCCATTTTAACTCACAGACACTGTTTTGACTTTTCTACACGGTGCCATCTCGCCAGTATTTGGTGCACGAAGACATCGTTCAGTAGTTTTAAACTATACAACAGGGGACACATTATACAGTAATTATTTTTCATATAGCTTGTATATGTTCTGCGGAATCTGCATTAAACCGCATCTTCCAAACTACTGAACGGATCTGGGTGAATTTTGGATATGTGGTTCACCCAGATCCCCCAGATTTTGGTGTTATTGCATGTTTTGGGGTCCCTGTGATATGCTTTATAATACTTTATTTTCCTGCCTGTGATAATTAAGTTAGTCTATGGTGTTGAGATAATTGTATCACAGGCAAAGGGGAGGATTTCTGTTGTAATGAATGGGAGTGTTAGCTGTGTTGTAATGTGTTGATTGGTTGTTCTTCAAAACCCTGTGGGCAGTACTATGTTTGTAGAATGTGAATAAAAGAGGCTGTATGTGCCAGTACAGTCAGTTCTACTTCACCCTCAATTTGGAGTGCCGTCTCTTATTGGGGGAATCTGCTACAAGGGATTGTTATGCTTGTCATACTCCCTTGCTAAATCACTACTAAGCTCTTTTAAGAGCTTGTTCCTGTTTTGCTCTCTGAAGGAGTCTACGGTGGTAATGGTGTCTGCTGGAGTCCCTCAGGAAGTGCTAGGAGCATCCTTCAACGGAGGTACCCAGTCGGGGTGCCAAGTGATCCGTTACAAATATTTACTTTTAATTTCCACCTTGGACCCTGGAATCTTTGTTACATTTAACCATCGAGTTCCTGAGTTCCTGTGGGTGTGACTGCTGAATTTCTACCTACAAATCTCCTGAAGTGAGATGAAATGCACCATAAGTCCAGAGCCAACTTATAATAGGCTCTAAAAATTGTGAGTTTGCCGACTACTCTTATTCATAATATTTGTTTAAATACAGGTCACACTATGTGTATTTGTTTTATTTAATATAGGCAAAAAGACACTTTTAAGAAAGAACCCGTATTATATATATTTTAAGGTAAACATACTTATTTATGTGCGCTAGTCACTTTATTCTGTACAATTAGAACACTGCTGTGAGAAACGTTCCAAGTTGTTAATAGGTGTTAACAAGCTCCTGGGTGGTCTGTTCGGTAAACAAACCATATAATCCCAATTGCACGAACAGAGACCTTTACATTATTTTCCACAGGGTCCATAGTCTCTGGGCAGGAGGCTGGCAAGCAGGCTCCTCCAGGCGCTCGTGGCAAACTCAGGGTAAAAAGGTGAGTTTGCCAGTGCAGAGCTCGATCGCTAATTGCAGGAGGGCCCCCAAGGCGAGGACTGGGGAGAACAAGGCCTGAACCGTGTAGCGCCAAAGGTATGACTTGTTGCCACTGGGCAGAATAGTGAGACACCATCCAAGCGTGCCTCAGCTACCACTGTTGTAGATAATTTACTGCAAACCAATTAGTTTGAATGACTATCTGTTCCTGTCCAAATTAAAGATAATAAAGTTGCGTGCACGCAGAAGTAAATTCACACTGAGACACAAAGTTCAGGTTAATGAAAGAACTTCGGAGAAGTTTAATGGCTTCTGACAGAAAATGGGTGCGCAGACCCTTTTAAAGGCATTATTACATCACTGAAGAAAATCAAGATATAGACAAATAGACATTGTTAATTGGCTTAGGTGCTAAGATGTTAGTAAAATGCCCTCCCCATTCTTAGGTCACTATCCACATCATTTTTAACTCCTCCAGGTTTTAGCGCCATTTTGCTAACATGAGGAGCTCACTCGACGGGAGGGGCCTTTTGGCAGCTATCCATTTAGAGCGTAGCTGGCACTTGTTAGTTTCTCAAGGTTAGGTTTCAAGGCTTTTAGTAAATACACATTTTATCAAAGCTATTTCTTGCTGGCATGCAAATTCTATGTTCTATAGACAAAGCTTTCTTGTAAAACTATGGGGGCCTCTTAGAGGTATAGCAAGAGGATTTAAAGGGGCCTTACAGATTTATAGAGGCCTAATAATTCTACAACATCACGATGTCGTAGCACCCTCTCAAGGGGGCAGAAGTTGCGGAAAAAGTGTAGCTTCGGTACCAGCACTTCTGTGCACACAGGACTGCTGCTTCTAAGCTGTGTTTAGGCAGGTTAACCATTCAATTTCAGCTTGATTGCCTGGAATCTGCCGGAGCCGATCGTCTATGCGTCCATTCAGCATGGCGGTCCGCCCCCACGTTGAATTTATTTTAAATGATCTTTCTTCAGCTGCACTAATTATGAACACATTAATATTGCCAAAAGTATTTAAAAAAAAATTAAAAATGGGCGAGGTGTTGAATTTTTGTTTTTTTTTAGAATAAATGAGAGTTTATACATGTCACCTGAAACTAAAGCCCTTTTTATTCTTTAAAAAAAATAAATTATATAATGTGTTGGTACAATAAGTGAGAAAAATAAAAATTGCGGTTGAACACAACCGCAGAAATGGCAAAATTGCTTGTGTCTTTAAGTACAAAACAAGCAAGCTGTTGCTGTGTCCTTAGGGGGTTAATCTTATTACTTTAGATCCTTTCTAATTATCACTTTTGGATAATTCTTGCCAGGCACTGAATAATCTAGGTTTGTCTATACAGTGAATGTAAAGGAATGAATGATCTTAGATAAACATCCATTAAGCCAATTCAGTTCACTGTAAAGGAGATCAACGTCACTCAAAAGAATCAATCTGACATCTCTCTCTCTTTCTGTGGGGAAAAAACTAATTTCTACTGGGCCACAGCATCTTAACCCGTCAGCACTGTCTGAAGTGTAGTAGTCAGAATTTATGTAATCAGGTGTTCATATATTCCACAAATAATCATACATGCGTTACTTTAGCTATGGCTCTACAGTTATTGGAAGGGTTACTACTGTGGATTTTTTTGTGTTGGAGTAATTATTTAAAAGAACACTTTTGCTGCAGTGGTTATGGTGTTAGGTGTGCCCTGTCACCCTGCTATGATAAGTAGTCAAACCATTTGAGAGCGGTTTGAGAATTTACCTCTGCTGAGGTCTGCTGTGCTCCTGCTGCTTTCTCTTCAAACAGGAAATTCCTGCAAGGAGCTTCTAGACTCTTGTGGACAACAAGTGATACAGTAATTTTTGGGGATGAAGTGCAAGAGGTAGGTGTGTGTGTGTGTGTATATATATATATATATTTAGTGTGGCGAAAGTATCCTCGCCACTGGTTCTTGGAGGGGCCTGTTTGCCAGCCTCCTGCCTCAGGACTATGGGCCATGCAAAAAGGCTCATAAAAGACCTTGATTGTGCCTTTTTGCTATTCTGTTTGGTATATTGCATTTCCCTCCTATTCTAACATTGTCCAGTTAGACTACCGAACAACTGCACAAACCAGGGACCACCCGGGAGCTTGTTAACACCTATTAACACCTTTGAACGGTTATTATCGCAGTGTTCTTAATGTTCTTTTGGGTGGCCACAATTCCTATGGACAACCACGAGGTGGTGGTCATCTTGTTCGCATGAATGCAGGCAGCAGTGTTTGGGCATGAATCTCATGGAACTAAAATCGGACACAGAAACTCCAGAAAACCGATGGACTTCCATCATCGCCTGCGTTCGGTTCTATACACTTTAGAAGGGCACAGTTTTGTGAAATCGTTCGTCTGGATGAGAGGAACAAGCTCAAGGTTAATAACATTGACTATGTTCGGTAGTTTGTTCGTTTTCTAAACTACCGAACCGCAAGCCCTGATTATATGGAACTGTTTTAGGCATGGGATCGTGCGTGCAGTCGGACAAATAAATAACTTCCAGGAAATACCTGAACCCCTGACTTTATCTAGGTGATTTTTGGATATGTTGGTCACCCAGATCAGAGCTATCAGGGGATGTAACATTTGTGGGGGTTTTGTGTGATTTAAAAGGTATTTTGGGGGTTTTATAAAAATGTGTGTTTTGTGTCTGGAGATAATTGAGTTTAGTTCAGTGTTTGACTCAATTACCCAGGTACAGAGGAGGGATTCATCTATTATGTGTGGGAGTGTCCTGGATCTGAGAGCCAATGTAATCGTGTATTTGTTTCTACTGTGGTTTACTCTCAGGTCCAGGAGGGAGTGCCCCTTGCATGGGGACTTGCATAAAAGGCCAGTTGTGGCTACCATTAAACAAGTTCCTGCCTACCCTCAACATAGAGTCTCATCTCATGTATGGGTAACAGCTGTAATGGGGATTGCTTTAGCACTATACACCTCTGGGTTATAATCACATGCTCTTGTAAGAGCAGCCTGCTACACTCTCTGCAAGGTGGTCCGTCACAGTTAGGGTTCCAGCTTTTAACATTTTGAGCCATTCCTGGAAAATGTAAAAAATGTGTAACATATACATGAATCAGATTCTTCACAATGGGAATATATGCATACAGGGAAAAGTAAATGATGGACAAGTGACTTGACAATGTTTAATCAAAAGAGCCAAAAGGCTGTGTTAGAGGCTGGCGGAGTTCCCATTTTTTACCACAAATCTGCAAAATTTGTGTTAAATCTTTGCAATTTCTAGAAAAATTAATTTATCTAGAGTGTGAGCTTGTTTGAGCAGGGTCCTCGGCTACCTTTTGTTTCTGTAACATTTTGTAATTGTCCCCCTTTATAATATTGTAAAGCACTGAGGAATAAGTTGGTACTATATAAATGCCAATAATAATTGTAGAGGAGCTCTCTGTATCCTGGCTGGGTACCTCCGCCAAAGACCGCTTCCTAACTGGAACAGGGAAAACCTCAGCGCTTCTGCCCCAGTCCCCACTGGGAGTACAACTAGTTTAATGCATCCAAACACAGCCTTTTTATACACAGATCCCAGCAAGGGGTCTCCATTGTCTTCACCACAAGCCCCTCCCAGGAATCTCTGGGCCTGGGAGAGAATTGCGTTAAAGCCCAGTAAGATAATTATCTCCCAGGAACAGAGAGGCAAACATAAAAATATAAAACCTAAAAATACACAAAAGATAATAAAAACATAAAATAACCCCACAAATAATACATTGTTAAATAGCACTGATCTGAGTGCCCAAGTTCTCCAAATACCGCACAGATCCATGCAGTGTAGGGGAAACGCCACCGCATTAAAGTTCTGACCAGCTACACACGTGGTCCTATGCCCAAAATAGTTCCAGGGCATTTGGTGCTTTTGCCGGTTAACTTTCGGGAGCTCCCTGCAATACGGGGTGCTCCGCCTGGCTCTTAGGTAGCGTTTGTTCCCCTTAGTCTCAGGCACCTTCCCTTCAAAAAGTACTCAAAGTGGTTTAAAACCGCGAACCAAGTTTTCCAGAAACCGTACGGTCACCTCATGCCAAAAACAGTTTCATAACATTCGCGGCTAAGTCATGCTGAGGTGACCGGGAACCCACGAAGTACTAATGCCGAATTTAGTTCCGTAGTGGTCGCGGCTAAGTACTGCTGGAACTATTCGTGGGTTTGGTTCATGTGAGCGTTCGGTTCTATTTGCATGAAGGGAAAGTGGTGAAACATGAGCACCCAGGGAAGGCTACGCAGGATAACTCCCAAACGGTGTTCCAGACCTTGACCACAGTCGGTGGGCACGAGGCCGGCTATCACACTCCTCCAGGAGTCCGTGGCAAAAGTACATGGAAAGGAGCGTTTGTCACAATAATATTTCCTAGTATTTCCAAGGAAATTATGTTGCAGTGTTAGGAACAGTTCACCCTTTCTGCATTGTCAGCATTTTTTTTTTTTGGTCAACTTCTTTACTGCTCTGTATTCATCAATTTATGTCAGACTCACACTGATGACTGTGAACATTACAAAATAATATAAAATATATATATATATATATATATAATTTTATTTGTAAATTATATATAACGTTTTATTTATTTGTATATAAGTTTATATTATTTTGTAATGTTCACAGTCATCAGTGTGAGTCTGACATAAATTGATGAATAGAGAGCATATATAATTTTATATATATATATATATATATATATATATATATACATACATACATATATACACACACACACATATATATACACACACACACACACACACACACACATATATATACACACACAAAGGTAAAAATGATCATTTTAAAAACATAGGATAAGCCCCACCCCTTTAAGAAAGCTACACAAACTGTCATTATGCACCCACCCCTAATGCATTGTGCTACAGGCATAGCATAGTAATTATTAAAGTCTGGTTCTCCTTATGTGATAAACTACGTTTCCCATGATGCCTAGTCAGCCAAGGCTGGGCAATAAGGGAGCCAGGTCCCCAGTAGTTTGATTCAGGGGTGCCACATGCTATCCTGGTACATGGACAAGTGTCCACATGGTGGTTGGTGTCCATTACCAGCCCTGTGCCTCCATGCAGTATTAATAATACAGTCACCGCAAGAAGGAAATCAATTCATTAGTTCAGGAGGAATCCATCAGGGACCAGCCTTATCATGCTGTAATGTCCAGCGTATTGATGTCTCCTGCAGCCTGTACAGCAAGGGGCAACACGTTACATGTGAATAGGAAGGCATGGAGGGTAAATGATATCTCAGCATACCATGATATAACAGTAATGGGGATCATAGAGGAGTCTCACTCTCACAGGGGGACTGACAGGGGGGGACATACCTTGCCATCTCTGTCAAACGGGAGGTCCAGCTCCCCTGAGGCTTCCTCTCCCAGGTAGGTGTCTTCTTCCTCCGGCTCCCCCGTGGCGGGCTGTGGGGGGCGGTAGTCCGGATAGGGGTTGTTAAAAGAGCGCTCCTCCATCTCCGCTTCCCCACCGAGCTGCAGCCTCAGCCTCTTAGACATGCCTTCTCCCATCTCCCCGACCGAGAGCCGGCTGGGACAAAATACCCCGCGGGCACAGCCAATTACTGCAACGCGTCCGGGCTGCTGGCTGACAGCACACACTGGCACACACACACTGTGCTCCTTCTACACAGCACACTGCCAGCCACCACACACACTGTGCTCCTTCTACACAGCACACTGCCAGCCACCACACACACTGTGCTCCTTCTACACAGCACACTGCCAGCCACCACACACTGTGCTCCTTCTACACAGCACACTGCCAGCCACCACACACTGTGCTCCTTCTACACAGCACACTGCCAGCCACCACACACTGTGCTCCTTCTACACAGCACACTGCCAGCCACCACACACTGTGCTCCTTCTACACAGCACACTGCCAGCCACCACACACTGTGCTCCTTCTACACAGCACACTGCCAGCCACCACACACTGTGCTCCTTCTACACAGCACACTGCCAGCCACCACACACTGTGCTCCTTCAACACAGCACACTGCCAGCCACCACACACTGTGCTCCTTCTACACAGCACACTGCCAGCCACCACACACGGTGCTCCTTCTACACAGCACACTGCCAGCCACCACACACTGTGCTCCTTCTACACAGCACACTGCCAGCCACCACACACTGTGCTCCTTCTACACAGCACACTGCCAGCCACCACACACTGTGCTCCTTCAACACAGCACACTGCCAGCCACCACACACTGTGCTCCTTCTACACAGCACACTGCCAGCCACCACACACTGTGCTCCTTCTACACAGCACACTGCCAGCCACCACACACACTGTGCTCCAGGAATATAACGCGGGGTTCACTGGACAGAGGCTCTCACTGGGCCCCCTGACTCCTTCCTAGTCATGGTTAATAAGGTGGTGGGCATCTCTCACCCTGGCTGTCAATTACAAACGGATATAGAAATTCCTAAATACAGAATAAAAAAAAATAGAATGAGATATAAAATACTGCTGGTGTTTAATAGTAATAATTTAAATATAAAAGGTGGTAGGTGAGCTTGTATTTAATAGCCCTAAATAATTGAGAGGTGTCAGCAAGGCATTGTTTGGGACTGTTCATGGGTGTAGCATGCACTGAATCGTCAGCTTTGTTTTCCCTGAAGATGCAGAATGTGGGAACATGTTCAACTTTGCAGTGAGGGGTAAATTAATTAGGGAAAATGCCTGACACTACAGTATCTGACTGGCATGTTGCACTGGTGAGTGGTGACAAGGCAGAAGCTGCAGGCTGCAGACTCACTGCACAGTACACACAGCAACCTCACTGCACAGTACACACTACACACATTCTCTCTGCACTGTACACACCATGTACAGCCTCACTGCACAGTACACACTACACACAGTCTCACTTCACTGTACACACAGCAACCTCCCTGCACTGTACACACTATGTACAGTCTCACTGCACTGTACACACTACTCACACTCTCACTGCACTGTACACACAGCAACTTCCCTGCACTGTACACACTATGTACAGTCTCACTGCACTGTACACACAGCAACCTCCCTGCACTGTACACGCTCCACACAGTATCACTGCACTGTACACACTATACCCAGTAGCCTCACTGGACTACAGACAGGGTCACTGTGCTGTACATACTACACCCAGTCTCACAGCACTGTACATATTATACCCAACAGCCTCACTGCACTGAATACACAACACCCAGTAGCCTCAGTGCACTAGACACAGCCTCACTGCACTGTACATACTACACACACAGTCTCACTGTACTGTACACACTAAATTCAGCCAGCAATTGTGAATTATCTTGAATAGGAGTGTGTCCAATTCATCCTCATAGAGAAATCACCACTTCTCATTTAGGCTATTTTCTGTGCCTGGAAGGGTTTGACATATGTTTCAGAGCACAATCCAATTCCAAATAGCGAAGGGAAAAAAAACAACTTTACTATTTTTTCTTTTAATTCAGATCCTATTCAAGAGTCAGATCATCAGTGATGTCAACAGTTGCAATGCGATTTTCTGCAACAAAAAGCAAGACACTTGTGTTCAGTCATGCAACATATACTATAAAACAGTCCATTTCATATGAACAAAGAGCCGTTATCCACATACATGCCATATAACCATTTTTTTTTAATAACAAATATTTTTGTTCTGACAGATATATGGAACAAAATGGACCTAAATGGTCAATCTCAGAGGCAGGCAGCTTTCATTCAGCATGTTTTACCAGCAAATCAGCATCATCCTATTTCTTACAGCTACTTCATCACCCCCCTACCCTCCTCCCAACCACCATTCAATTATTCATTTTCCAATGAAAGAAAAGCAACCTGCAGACATTCTCAAAGCACAGGCGTAAAATCAACTTTAAATGTATAAAACGATAGATAAAATACCTTGAGATACCAGTTCGTAATGCCCCACAGATTGTGTCTTTCTAGAGGCTGTGCTAAATTTGTGCTCCCTCTCTGTGATCCACAGATGAATAAATGGTTAGGACAGACTCCAGGGAGGAGGGTTACAGCCACACACACACGCAGATGCACACACACACTGTTCCCAATTGTCAGGCTAGCCAGCTATCACCAGACTGTCAGAGCAATCACCCGCAGCACATACACACGTATAACCAAGAGGCACATGACAACAGATGTTGCTTCTGTAATAATTCTGAGGAAAAAAAATGCAGAGCATCACAATTGTTGTTCCTATGAATATTTTTTATTAATTAAAAATTTTACCGGGAAGGATACTTTGAGATTTCTCTAATTTTCAAGTATGTCCTGGGCCCACAAAATATTGCATTGATAACAAACATGGTATTGTTATTGCTCTATTCCTAATATATGATGTTTTAACTCTTGGCTCATTATCGCATACTATGTATTTTTTGAAAGGGTTTACAATGTAGAGAAAGGGCAGGTGGTAATAGGGAGATATATTTGGCATGCCATTCCTAAAGGATTGCTCATAAAATTACAACTTCTATGATGTCTCTGAATGATACATTTAAAAATCACATGGTAGGGTCTGGATATAAACCATGATACTTACTAACCAATTTCCTTACCAAAATATTATCAAAATGGATTCAAGCAAAAATAAATGAGGAGATGTCTCTTATGAATCAGTTATATTTTTTCATATTACTTTTTGGTTATATTCATGTTCTGAAAATTCTGATTTGTTTGAAATTGATTGACGAGATGTCTGTCCTTACATGTTGTTTTGGTTTAATCTTTTAATAGCCAAATCCAAAATTATACCAGATCCTATTATTAAAGACTTAACAATCTCTTTAACGAAAATAATTAAGAAAAAGATTTATGGTAGCTGATAAGGTGTCTCCGGAACACCAAATGAAATACTTCTTTATAACATAGAAGATCTGAATTTGGCTCACTGGGAATGTAGGTGGATCTCTCAAATCTCAGACATTATTGATAAATAAGAGATTGCGCCTTTCTCAAAACTTCAAAGGAAATTTGAGCTTTCCATTAAATATATATTTCTATATTTATGTATAAAAAAAACCCTATGGGTAAACAATTTTATCATCCCAATTCCTTGATGATTTATTTCTCGATTTGTATCCTTAGGACACACACATACTCACAGACACACACTGACAGATAAATCACTGACAGACACACTCACTCACAGACATACACTGACAGACATACACACACTCACACACACACACATTCACTGACACAGACAAACACACACACAATCTCAAAGACACACATTGATAGACATACACACACACACACACACATTCACAGACAGACAGACACACACATTCACTACAGCTTGACCAGTGCCTTATGCAAGTCTGAGTTAAAAAGTTGCCTGCTGCAAACCAGAGCAGTTCTCAGATAAACTATTGTTGGACCAATGCCTTATGCAAGGTAGACTACGGAGGACACTATCAACCCTTATTACTGGACACTATAATTTTTTTTTGTATTTTATCTACTTGTATATTCTTATTTATTTATTTATTTTTAATCAACGTATCTTTAACCACCATTTCTTTGTCATTGTAACATACACCTGGGTGTGCTTGTTTTTTAATGTACGTGTGTGTATGTGTGTGTATATATATATATATATATATATATATATATATATATATATATGTGTGTGTGTGTGTAGATATATAAAGTTGAGTGTGTATGCAAGATGGTACCAAAGAGCTTGTCCATGCCCTAGTAATTTCCTGCATGGATTATTGTAACCCCCTCCTAATTGGTCTTCCCAAAAACCGCATTGCCCTGCTACAGTCGGTAATGAATGTTGCCGCCAGACTGATTTTCCTCTCTAGTCGGTCCTCTCACACTCGACCCCTTTGTCAGTTCTTACATTGGCTTCCTGTATCCTATAGGAGTCAATTCAAAATGCTAACCCATGCTTATAAAGCATTGACCAATTCTAGCCCCTATTATATCTCTTCACAGATCCATAGGTATGCCCCTTCTCGATCTCTCCGCCTGTGACCTTCTGCTGCCCGCTGCTCGCACCCATACGGCCAACTCACGCTTGCAGGACTTCTCACGGGCGGCTTTCCCCGCTGCATCCCTTGCAAGCTGGAACAGCAGACATAGGGGTTAAATCTTCCCTCCCTCCAGTAACCAGACGAAAACACAGTTCTGGAGGTTAAAACACTGGCACTCTTTATTGAAAACAGGCTTCTTTTATGTCCATTCAGGACAGGAGGGGGCTGGGTTACAGATAGCCATCTCCCGCTCTGGGAGATACCAACAGTACACAGGGACACACATCCGGGGGGGTAAACTTTGGGGCTCGGTGCCCCGGGAAGGGAAAGGGTTACAGGGTTGAAACATACATTGCTAGATAACCCTGGGTCCCCAATAGGATCCGTGCAAATAACGGGGCGATCAGATGTCGTGGCTCGTGGCTCTGTACATCGCCAAAATAATTTCAATGAAGCTGCTTGGTTTAGTCCGGCAAATTCAAACTTTGCGCCTAAATCAAGAAACAACCAATCAGCTAAAAGGTGCGAAACCAAAGCGCGCCAATCAGCTCGCAGAGAGAAGAGGAGTTTCGCCGCTCAGTCAGGCGAAAGGGCGCGAAACCCAGTTGCAGCAATCGGCGCTTGGGGAGGAGTGGGGTTCACCGCCCAATTAGGAGAAAGGGCGCAAAACCCTGTTTGAAAAAGCGATCATTCTCTTAATTTGGGCGGTTGCGCACCGCAGTGACCAATCAGCGCCCAGTGTTCGTGCTGACCAATCAGGAGAATGGCCCTCTCCCATTGGTCCACATGAACTTCCATGCGGCCAGTGGGACTCTGCGGCCATGAGGCCAACTCACAGCTCCAGAGATTCCCTGCTGGCTGGCGTCCCTCTCTCCGGTGGATATCCCCACATATGTATCCACTGGAGAGAGCGCTCTCTTTAGCAGCTATGAGTCTATCCTCGTAGCTCCCGGGCAGGGAAAACAGTGACCATAGCTCCGTTGGGAGCGGGTAGGATGGTCCCCGACACAGGGACCTGAGACAGTGTGCATATGCCGGTTCAGTATTCGAATGCTGCCCCTGGTTGGTGTTCGGTTATACGAACTGGCGGCCACCCGGGGGAAGCACGCGCTGCTTGTTTCCTTTGCGGATTGCGGTTTTCACACCTCGTTACGAGGTGTGAACTTTCTAAATAGACATTCTAAATGAGGTGTCGGGGTGGTCCCTGTTTGGGAGCCGAACAGAACCCGTTCATATGAACTCTCCCGAACGGGGAGCAGCTAAAATACATGAATACAACACAATCAAATCTAGATACCTGGGGAGACACAGAGTACAAAGGAAAATTGTGAGAATAAACATTGGGAACACAAAATACAAGGCAAAACATGTGAATATTCAGTGGGCATGGTATTTAGTGGCGGTGGCCCGCTACAGCATCCTTCTCTCACCTCAATGTACCTTTCAACCTATTTACCCTGCCCCTGCCCTTTCCTTTACTTCCTTTGAAGTTCACACTGTCTGCCTATTTAAGCCCACTCCTTTAAGAATTGCCATCATTTATCGCCCTCCCGGTCATCCTAGACCAAGCATGTCTGTCAGGGATCCGCGGGCGGCTAGGAGGGGAGGCTGCACGCCGCTTGCAGCACTCACCCTCACTCCATCACCGCCCGCGGTCTCCCCTCTGCTTACCTCTCGGCGAGCGGCGTCTCCTCTCTGCCGCTCGCCGCCCGCGTCCTCCACGCCCCCCAGCGGCAGCATGTATAACGCTGCACGCTGGGAGGTCAATTAATTATGTAAACGCCGGGGTCACGTGAGTGACCCGGCGTTAAAGAAACAGTACCACAATCACAGTGGGGGGTATAGATATCCCCCACGTGTGATTGTTAATTCTGATTGGAAGTTATCCAATCAGAATTAAACCAAGGGTATTTATACTTACCTTTCCTGTCCCTCAGTGCCCTCTTGTGGTCTTGTGATACCTGTAGCGTAGTGTTCTCGTCTTGCTCTCTGGTTACCGATTTCTTGGCTCGTTATTCCGTTTATTCTGTCTTCTCCACTCCTTTGACCTCGGCTTGTTTCTCGTTCTCCTGTTTTCTGGCTCCCTTTACCTGGCTTGTCTCCTGACTATTCTTAGCGTGCTTAGCCCGGCCACTCTAAGGTCCGGTACGGCACCTTTTCTGTGTGTGTGTGTGTGTGTCAGCGTGTTAGGTTCCCCGAATCGTGACATTACAACAGGGCCACCATGGAACCTGCTGACATTCCACAGCTGTTAGTTAATCAGGAGGCTAGAATGGACGGTTTAGACCACCGTATGGATCAGTTTGCCCAGGCTTTACAAACCATACTGGCTCGTACTGCCCACTTGCAACCTGCCGTCCAAGAAGCTGTTGCTGCTGTGCCAGAACCCATTCCTGATCCAGTACCCGCTCCTGCTCACGTGGTTCACATGACGCCACCTCAGCGCTATAGCGGTGAGCCAGCATTGTGCTGTGGTTTCCTCAACCAAATTGATATTCATTTGGTGATGAATCCTCGTTCCTACCTTACTGACAGAAACAAAATTGCTTTTTTGATTAACCATTTGTCCGGGAAAGCACTAGCATGGGATAATCCCATGTGGGAGAATACGTCCCCAATGTCCTTTTCAGACTTCTTAACAGCTTTTAAACGTACGTTTGACCAACCCGGCCGGGTTGCTTCTGCTGGCAAAGCTCTGCTTAGGGTTCGACAGGGTAATAGATCAGTAGCGGATTATACCATTGAATTCCGCACTTTGGCAGCTGAAGTGGTCTGGAATAACGACGCTCTCGTAACAGCTTTTCAGGAGGGTTTGGCTTCTTACATATTAGATGAAATAGCATCCATGGAAATGCCTGTTCTTCTGGATGATCTTATAGATTATGTCATTCTAATTGACAACCGTATTAGAGAGAGGCGTAGTCAAAGAAGGATGAATACACAGGGGTTACCTGCTTCAGTATGGATCCTTCTAAATTAGAAGCCATATTGTCTTGGCCTCTCCCTCAAGGCCTTAAGGCAATACAGCGATTTATAGGCTTTGCCAATTATTATC